ATGCCCTCGCCACACACCGTCGTCTTAATTCTCAGTTTTCTTAAACTAATAATTCTTCAGTATACAATTGCGTATATATATCCTAATATTTGAATTTTTGGTGTTCCTCGAACGAGATAAATTCACCTTGATGATCTTAATCTAAATTTGATACGTTAGCAGAACTACTTCCTCATACCGCAATTATTTCCTCATACCGCAAATAGTTGTTTAACTATAAACTAATATATTGTAGCTTAGAGCAAATCATGTAAAATGAAAGAAGCCGTTAAAAAATACTTACATACCTGTAGCCATGAGACACGAAGAGTTAGTGCAAGTTTTTGCCTTCGATCTCTCTTTTAAATATAGCACTATGAAAGTTACAGACACGGCAAGCAGACACACAATTAAAATACACAAAACCAAACGTATTTTCGAAGGCTTTCGTGTCTCTGTCTCACCAAATTGATTAAACGGAAAATTCGCCATATCCTGAATAATCTTTTAATTCCAAGTCGGGGCTGCACTCCACTACACAGACGCTCAAAGTGATTCCGACCGCATTTAGTGATATTTATATAAAGAGTAAAATAACCAAGGGTTTATAATCAACAGTCTGGTAGTGTAAATTAATTTTATAACGCCAGGTAAAGTGCTTATACGCCGGGTAATGTACCTTATTCTGTATATAGTATCATAATCAGTGATTATACTGTAAGACATAGAAGGATCATTGAAAACTGTTATCAGCTAATATGACGTCTTTGCGTTGGCTTTATCCTTGAATTTAAGAATATACATGCACCATATAAATACTAACTATAACGGTAAGCGCTAAATAAATCTCGTGGCTAAAGAATGAAGAATCCGGTGCATTTTGTAGCCTACAAACATGGAGATTGTTTTGAAATTATAAAAATATTAAAATCATGGCCAGAAAATTCGGACGTAATTAACATTCTACTTCCGCCTAAATTTGCATATATGGTGTCAAAATAAAGCTTCGTGAGTTTATAGTAAACTGAAATGTGCACAGTACTAAACGCTAAAAATACACCTGTAGGTAGGTCGATTATAATTTGCCTTAATTGCTCGTTGCAGAGCAAGTTAATCTTAATATTTTTACATAGTATTTCAAAATGTTTTATCAGTATTCGTCCTGCATTTTCAAAACAAAGTTTTGGTCATTTATCACGTTGAATACCATAAATTATACAAAGAAAACCGTAATAGCGTAGAAATAAAATTAAAATGCAAAGCCGACATAAACCTTTACCAGCAAAATATTACCTTAGGATCGGTAATATGACACGAATTACAAGAAACAACCAGGGCAAATTGCAAAGATGCAATGATTTTCTTAAATTTTGCGAAATTTAAGAATGCGCAATATAATTTATAGTTCTGCAAACGAATAATATTTGAACAGATATGCAAATTTGCTACGGCAATCTACATATTCCATGTCCGCAATTTCTGGCCATGGCTAACTATAGCATTAAGCACCGCCAACTTCTCATCGATAAGCGCTACAGAAATTTCGTGGTTGGAGAATCCGGTGCATTGTATAGAAATAAATATGCAAATTGCTTTGTTGACACCATGAAGTGAAACGAATGCGTGTGAACGATGATCTCAGGACCCTTGTCATCTTCCGTGTTTGCCATCAAATAATCTGCCCCTTAAAGATGGCTTTAGATACGTCTCCTCCGACTATTGTTAACCATGGCTGTGAAACTTATAGCAAGATTTCGTTTTGTCTTTAGCCCTGTGTCGAGGGTTATGGCGCGCGTCACAAATATCAAAAAGATAATTCTGGAACAAGGCAATTGCAAGGAAGTTCAAAGATTGAGATCGTGATTAGTCTAGCAAGAAGGTGCTATTGTTGTTGAAGGGGCAATTATTGTTTTCAATGCGCATGCATGGCGCACATAGCCTTGACCAGCCTTGATGTTAAATGGTTTTGATATAATCATATAGTTCAATGGACAGAATGTACGTCAAACTAACAAAATAATATAGCTACATCGGGTATATAGATAAAGCGATGTAGCAGGCCGATTTCTCCCAATAGGTATATATATCCGATTAACAATTTTTTTTCCGTATACAACTATGATAGAAGCCTTTATATTAAGAAAAGTTCAGGAAACTATATTTAAAAGACTTCTTTGAAGAGGAATGCAGTCAGAAAATTAACTAATTGTAATTCAATTTTAACATCCTGTTTATTTAACTCGCACGCCTTCGATACAAATCATTACCTTCCCTAATTTTCGATCTCCTTAAGAAATCCTCGTTAAAAGTTCCAATTTCTTAAAAAAAAATTTCTGGCTGCGAACGAGATGAAACGTGAGATTCGAATGATTTGAAATGAGCCAAGATATCAGACATGCGATTTCATAACTTTAACGCTAGAATTTTCTCATTCCACGAATAGCTTTGTAATTTTAAGCAAATAGATTTGTAACTTTAAAGCAGATAGCATCGGAATAGAAGCGATCACAAAAATACCAACGAACCTGCAGCGATGAGACACGAAGAACTAGCGCACGTTTTCTCTGGAACTGGTGATTTTGTTGTCTCCTTAAAAGGTGATTTCGTTTTCGATTTCTCTTTTAAATACAGGGCAATGAAACTTACAGACAGGACAACGAGAAGAACAACCAAAATACACAAAACTAAACGTATTTTTGAAGGCCTTCGAGCCTCTGCCTCACCAAATTGTTCAAAAGGAACTGTCATTTCCTGATTAATCTTTTAATCCCACGTCGCCGCTGGCTTCACTACACAGACGCGCTCGAAGTGATTCCGAGCTTCTTTGGTGAAATTCATAATTATATAAAGTAAAATTAACCAATTACATGTCACTTCGTATTACCTCATACTGTGTCATTCATGAGCACTCGTATTCATATCCACGTCTTCCGCCATCTTGAACCAGCACAAGGGGGGAGAGGGAGCGTAAATCCTGTATAGGGATAGAGGTGGAGGTTGCACACCATCCCCTCCCTAAGGGTTTATATATTATAATCAGTAGCAGTCGTATTGTAGTGTAAAACTGATATAACGCTGGGCAAAGTGCTTTGAGGGTAATTAAATTTTTCGGAAATTTTGAATCGTGAAACATTGTTACTTAGGAAGCTAAGTTAGGCAGTTGTTATACCACATTTGATACTAAGAAGCTAATAACCTGATCTGGTTAATTTTAGTGTATCAAGTTATGGCACTAGACTGGTGAAAATACCTCGGTTTCGGTGTATACCGTTAAAAGTATCGCACAAGTACCTCGGCAAACGGCGTAAGATTTCACGCAGTTTCATGGGAAAAACGCTAAAAAAGTGATACTATTTATTCAGGTTATTTAGCAATTTTTGGCCGTATGAATTATGAAGTGTCAAAACGTTTACTTTTAAACTGTGTGTTCCTTAACTCATAAACAAGCGTTGTACGGGAGAATATAGCACTAAGCCAAAGTCAATGTCAATAGTCAAGCGTCTATTTAATATGTACACGTAATTTATGAGGAACCAAGTATGTGAAAAGTATTAAATCTATGCTGTCTATCGGGTTTCAATATATCTGAGTTTTATCGAATCCCAGCAAAATCTTGGAATGTAATAATTCTTCAAACGTTTTTGGCTAGAGTTAAATTCATAAATTGCTTCCTGTTTTAAACGATGAGTAAAATCATTTATTTTTTATGTCGACCGAACAGGAACATAGTAAATACAACTCACAAACAATATCAGGACGATATTGCAGTTATGTAGTATTGTGAGGTTCACATGTTTTAAACGCGTTGTTTTGTTGTGTTTAATATAGCGTGCACGTGTTTATACAGTTGTATGGCCTGCATAGGCCATGGCGATATAGGGCCTTTTCACAACGATCAATTTCCTGTCGAAACCGGTCATAGACAGTGAATATATTTAATGTCTGAGACCTGAATAAATTATACCAAAACCTGGTCAAATAATTAAGTTTGCTACTAACCGTACGCTATTCTATAAGAGAAACTAATTTACTTTCATATTTGGTGTAACCTAATTTAAAACTGTTTATATATCTTCCAAGTGAAGGAAGAATATGAAGCGATTGAGATTGGCAACTTTTATCAGCGAATATAACGTCATTGTGTTCGGTCTATACAAAATTATTTACGATTATACACCATAAAAATGCTAACTATAACCGCATTCTTTAACGGCAAGGCCAAGGGCTACATAAATCTCGTGTCTAGCGAATTCCAGGTCGACCTTATATAAACAAACAAATTTCTTTGATTATAGCAAGAAATATGACGAATGCTAGTGAACTATGATTTAAAGCTAATTAGCAGGCGCTATATATAACCCGTGACTAGCGAACCGGTGCATTGTGTTGTGAACGAATAATTTCACAAATTCTTGTCGCATGTCTCGCCTGCATGTGGCTGTGCGGATGCATAATTCGTGAGAAAATATGCAATGGAGTGCTATCTAGTAATTTCTTCGATGCATTGCAAGAAAGGCGCATAAGGAAAGCGATATCCCTATAACTATAGTAATCTTATAGTTGATAGTATATGAAAAATCACTCGACGATAAACAAATATACTTCTCACGGGTACACTCATGATGAACCTAACTTTTATGTAGGTATATGCGTCGTATAATACACGCACTTTTTTAAAGATTTTTTTAAAAGGAATAAACGATTAGGATTCGAATTTATATGAACTTTCCAACAAACTCGAAATGTTGCGAGGTCTTGCACACTATGTTGAAGTTTCATTATAGCTATTCTACTGAGCTACAGATCAATAGTCAAATAATTTAGTATAATTGCAATAGAATTTTAACATCCTGCATGTACATATTTAAGATCGAGATGATCTTAAATATAACCCACGCTTTGTGAATTTGATACGTCAACAGTATAAAATTTCCGCATACCGCGGAAGTTCAACAAAGATTTGTGACTTAAAGCAAATATCGTATCGAAATGAAAGAAGCAATCATAAAAATATTCACTACCTGCAGCGATGAGACACGAAGAACTAGTGCAAGTTTTCTCTGTAACTGGTGATTTTGTTGTCTCGTCAACTGATGGTCTCGTTGTCTCTTTGATTAGTGATTTTGTTGGCTCTTTAAAAGGCAATACCGTTTTCTGTTTGACAGATGATACATCTGTAGATTTCGCCTTCGATTTTTCTTTTAAATACAGCGCAATGAAAGTTAAAGACAGGACAAGCAGAAACACAACTAAAATACACAAAACCAAACGTATTTTTGAAGGCTTTCGTGTCGCAGTCTCTCCAAATTGAGCAAAAGAAGAATTCGCCATCTCCTGATTAATCTTTTACTTCCACTTGGCCCTGGACTTTACTACACAGACGCTCAAAGATGATTCCGAGATGATTTAGTGGTATCATATTAGCCAATCAGGAGCCACTTCGCATCACCTCATGCTGTGGCCTCATCAGTTATTGTTTTCAATGCGCTTGCATGGCACGCATAAAATTTCACACTTGATCCTGCCTTGGTGTTTTAAAATGGTTTTGATATAATCTTATAGTTGTGTTACGCAAGGCTTTATTGTGTTTAGATGTAAGCATGAACAAAAAGCAATAAATAGTAAGCATAAATAATTGTAAAGATAGGAGTAGCAATTGCATGACAGGGATTGGTGACTGATTTTTGCCGCAAGACGCCTGAGTAAGGCCATCACAATCATTGAGCACTCCTCTCCAGATACAGTTGTAGGTGTCTCAGCACTTGTGGTAAGGAATGATAAACAAGAACTTGCTGGTAAGGTAAAACAAGTTATTGATATGCTAAGAAGTCATTGTAAACACTCCCAAATATCGTATTTAGAAAATGCTAACATTAATAGTTCCCATTTGAACTTCAGAGGCCTTTAAGAGAATTTGCAAATAATATACCTAATTGACATGATATTTCCCCGGACATTTCAGCAATAACCTCCGATAATCAACTAAATGACTTGTTGAATGACCCGGCAATAGTAAATTGTAATTCTGAATCTGCTCTTAGCGAAATTGCCAATCTCAAAGGTTTTCGAATAGCTAGCCTAAATGTTAATAGCCTCTTGAAGCATATCGATGAGCTTCGAGTAATATTGGAAAAATGTCCGATTGATGTCTTAGCCATCAATGAGTCCAAAATCGATGAATTTGTCTCAGACCATGAAATTAAAATACCTGGATACGATTTATTCAGAAAGGATCGTAATAGACACGGGGGGGGTGTCGTTTTATATGTTAGAAACTGCTTTTCATGTGTTGAACGTACAGAATTTGTTCCAAATTCGCTTGAAATGGTGTGCATTGAAATTTTTCGTCAATATAGCAAGCCATTCTTAGTTTGTTCTTGGTACAGACCTCCGAATGCTAATATAAGTTTGTTTGATAACTTTGAACGTTTTATTCAAAAATGTGATATGGAAAATAAAGAATTAATAGCTTTAGCGGACTTTAATTGTGACGTTAGTAAATCCCCATATGATAATCACACGCAAACATTATTAAATATATGTGCGTTATATCAGCTGAAACAACTGATAGAAGAACCAACTAGGGTGACTAAAACAACTGCAACCTTAATTGACTTGGTTCTAGCTAACAATCCTGAAAGTATTTCTAACTATATGGAGTAATTAATTTGGGGATTTCCGATCATAACCTAAATTTTGTTGTCAAAAAAATTGTGTTTCCAAAGAAAAAACAAGCCTTTAAGGAATTTCGAAATTTTAAAAATTTTAATGAATGACAGTTTCTCGAAGACTTAAATACGGTTCCCTGGGATTATGTGAACCAATTTAATGACCCAAATGATAGCTGGCATTTGGAAATTATTCTTTCTAGAGACACTCGATAGGCATGCGCCAATTCAGAGTAGGCGGACTCAAAACTAAATCAATGCCATGGGTAAATGCATCCATAAAGCAACTTATGAGGGAAAGAGACCTCCATCAGAAATTGGCTAAAAAATTTGGCTCTGAAGCGCATTGGGAAAAGTATAAAACCATCAGAAACAAAGTGAATTCTGAAATAAGAAAAGCTAAAGCTAACTACTTTAATAATAAACTTTCAGAATCCACTCAGCACAGAAATGTTAAAAAAAACTGGTCATTAATTAATACTCTTCTAGGTAAAGACGGTAGTAAAGCTACAATAGTCAATGAACTCAATATCGGCGGTAGTGTTATTACAGACGGAGTCTCAATTGCAAATCAACTAAATAACTATTTTGTTAATATTGGCCCGTCACTAGCGGCTGAAGTGACAAATTGTAACGCTGCCTACGAAACAAATGTTAAAGATTCTACTTGCCGTTCAACATTTTGCTTCTCAGGTCTAAGCATTGATCAAATTGCAAATAATCTAAAATCTCTAAAAGTTTCTAAAGCTACGGGACTCGATAAAATTCCAGCAAAAGTACTTAAACTATCTGCGGATATAATTGCTCCATCACTGACTGCCATTTTTAATCTATCATTATATACTGGGAAATTTGTCAATGATTGGAAAATAGCACGAGTCCAACCAATCTATAAATCCGAAGATAGGAGAAAGTGTGAAAATTACCGTCCGATCTCCATTCTGCCAATTGTTAGCAAAATATTTGAGAAAGAAATTTTTCGACAACTATATGACTATCTGTCAGAGAACTTACTGATTTCAAAATTTCAATCTGGCTTTAGACCAAAACACTCAACATTAACTCTACTTCTTCAAACGTGTGATAAATGGTTGGAAAATATGGACGAGGGTTAAATTACTGGTATAGTTTCCTTAGATATTCGAAAAGCTTTTGACTCAATTGATCATGAAATTCTACTGATAAAAATGTAAAACCAGTTTGGAATAAAACACTCCGAACTTGCTTGGTTTGCTTCCTATTTGACTAATCGAGAGCAGGTGTGTTATGTGAATGGCTATATATCGACTCGCAAAGAAATAATAAGTGGAGTTCCCCAAGGTTCCATTCTGGGTCCCCTGTTGCTTCTGCTGTATATCAATGACTTACCAGAGTACCTAAAATCTACTACCCCTGGAATATATGCAGACGACTCTCAAATCTTTGCGTCGTCGGATAACTTTGATGAATTAGTAGACATGTTGAATTCTGATTTAAAAAATATCAGTAAATGGCTTAGTTATAATAAATTGCAACATCATACTACCAAAACTAAACTTTTGTTTGTAGGCTCTTCGTATAACATTCAAAATAAACTAGGAAATAAGTCAGTGATCTATGGAAATGTACCAGTAACCCGTTATAGATCTTTTAAATGTTTGGGCGTCGAGATTGATGAACAACTTAATTGGGAAGCCCATATAAATGCAATAAGCAGAAAGGTAGGCGCGGGAATAGGTGTAATGAGACGAGTTAAACCCTTTGTTCCTGAAGAAACCATGCACACCATTTACAAAGCTTTAATTCAACCATACTTTGACTATTGTTCCCCTCTTTCAAAATAGGGCTGCTCGGGTGTTAACGGGGGCAGACTACAATACAAGCTCCTCTGAACTCCTGGAGCAGCTTAGATGGAAAAATCTCGAAACTAAATATAAAACTAACAAAGCAGTTCTCGTTTATAATATCCTAAATAACGGTACTGCTCCGTGCCTTCGCGAATCCTTTTCTGAGCGTAGTGTAATTGAAAATGGTTATAACCTGAGACATTACGACACTGATCTATCAATCCCGAGACCTAAGAAAGAGTTTCTCAAAAGAAGTTTTAAATATAGAGGAGCTGTATTATGGAATAGTCTTTCGCGTGAAGCTAAGTCTGCTCAATCGATTCATTGTTTCAAGAGGCTCATAAATTCAAGTAGTTAAATCTGCATATTATATATAGTTTATATTTGTATAGTGTAATTAAGTAGACGCCCATAATGTAATTAAGTAGACGCCCTCCGTGGAAATCAGTGGTAACTGACGGGGCTAGTGTCTGTAAATAAAATTTTAAATAAAATAATAATAATAATAATTCCTTTCATGTATGACACATCGCGGGAAGAAATAAGTAATCAGGGGAAAGAAATCATCCTGTCAGAACGTGCGCATCTCAATCAACAATCCTAGGTTGTTGTAAGCTCAAATGTTAGCTTTAGGAAAATATGCATGTTGTAAGGCAGATGCGAGCTCTTATGTCAATAAATTGTGCTTAAAATGGCGCGGTCGAGCATGTAATAGATTACGTCATCAAAAGTTCAATTCGGTAAAATAAGAGTAAAATAGTTTAAGTTCAAAGATATTGTTCACAGAGCTATTGCTTGTAAATTTAAGGCGACAACGCCTTAAAAAAACAAGATATGAGAGCAGGAACGAGCTTCTAACGATAACCCACATTTCTAACTTACAACGCTAATTGGTTGGATAAGGATCAACCCACGCTGGTTGGTGACGTGGGCAAGTGTCCCTCAACCATTACTATAAAAGGGCGTGCACAACACCAGAATCTTCAGTGGACCAACGGAGTATTAGTAATTTATTGTTATAGAATAAAATTTAGACCATTAGTAATTCATTGTAAATATCCTACTACCTCGCGTATATAGAATAAAAAAATTTAACAGTTGCATGGAAGAATGTCAAAATAACACAATAATAGCTTAGAGTCATTGACACACACACTACTGCATAGTAATTTGCAACGTGCATCAAATACCTGATCACCGAGTGAGTTGATACATTCCAATATACAGTATATTCTATATGGTCAGTTATAATCCCCTAATTTTCTTTTTGGCTCAATAAACGTTTCCAAATTAATAAAGTTACATGCATTGTCTATTTTACCAGCCAGCCGAAAAATGTTAGGATTTCCTACTATAGTTGTCATTGAAGAAAATATGCTACCAAACTGCGCAAGTGTCTTTCTTCATCAGACATCCAAAGGCCTTGCTAAATTCAGGGAAGTTGCGTAGTGGAACACGTACCCTGGAAATTGAAAAAGATAAGTTATGCTGAATATAGCACAACATGAAGTATTACGTTGGGCATTATAACCAAATTAACTTCGAATCGATCCATGCAATCCATTCATTGCGTAATAAAGATTTTTCAATACGCTGTTCCTTTAAATTCAATTGTGAAATAAGAATTTATGGTTCAAGGTTTTAGAAGCCTGTTGGGTGGGTTTTGAATAAAGACTTTTCTGCTATAAGAGAGTATTTTAACACATGAGATCTTTTGTATAGTTATTATTATATTCGTATTATTTTCATTGCCATTATATTAAAATTTCATCAGCTTTTCATAGCATTTGGCCCTGGTAACTGTAGGTTACAAGTCCATTTCACATTGTTGCTATTTCATCGACATGCCATTTACTTAGATATTTCTTGAACGAAATTCGAATGGGAAAAAAATTCAAAGATTTCCTCTGAATAAATTAAATTTCGCCTATATTTTAAAAAACCCCGTGGATATTCATCCGACACCGGAACTCCCTGTCTGATAGCTATTCACCCGACATGATGCGCATTCGTGTTCTGCGCAGTTAATTACACGTGCGATAATTCATCGAACACGGGGGCACGCATCAAATGTAAAAATGGCGGATAAAGACATTGGATTGAAAGTAGGCCAAAAGTTCTCGTCTTTTGAGGAGGTTAAGGTTGCAATCGCTCGCTATGAAGAAACGAATTACGTTAACTTGTATGTCAACGATTCAAGGTCAATTATTTCAGCGCTAAAACGAACCCCAGAGAAGGTTTTTAAACCCGAGTTGAAATACTTCCATCTGAACTACACTTGTGTTGCTGGTGGTAGTAGAACATTTAAGTCCAAATCAAAAGGAGCAAGGCCGAACCAAAGGTTAGTTTTTTCTTTCTTTATACGTAAACCCTGTTTAGAAATGTTGTTTTGTGTACTGAATACTTCGAATTTTCTCTGTTGTCTAAAGCACATTTAGAAAGGGCTGCCCCATGCAAGTGAAGCTTCGAGTTAGCAAACATGGCAATTTTTTGGAGGTGGTTGTTTTGAAGGAAAGTCACAATCATAAGTGCGATGAGGTATGTTGTGTGGTGTTATTGAGCTACTAAGTATATTCGAAGTGGCCATTATTTACGGACCTGTAAACAGACTTTTCCAAGCTATATTTAAGGCTCAGTTACAGGAAAAAAACATAATACAAAACAATTAAAACAAAGAGGACGGTTGAGGAATCAAACCCAGTATTCAGTGATCACAGTCCAACGCCTTGTCATACATGTGCACCCCTATTGCTATTAGGGAGTGTTCATTATTTATGGTTGGGGGGCAGCTAATTCATTAGGAGGGGGAGGCAAAAGAAATTCGCTGTTTGCTTTTTGGGGGGTCAACAGAGTTTGAAGATGGCTAGTTGGGGGGGTCATAAAAGTTTTTGTTCACTCAACAAAATGCGTTACTATGAAGCTTACTAAGCTTACATTAATTATAATAACTTGTAGGTACACCACGTAAGTATTAAATACTGCAAACGTAAGTATTATATTTAATACTTACGTGGTGTACCTACAAGTTATTATAATTACTAAAGTCGCCATGCAATCATACAAGAAAATTATTAAGCTTACATTACTAAGATCTCTATTTTTTAGGTATCATTTAAACACTTTCCAAAGCAAAGGAGGCTAAATGAGGAAACAGTTAATGAGACAAATAAATTTTTAAAATGAAATGCAACAAAAAGATTTTACAGAGTCATTTGCAGAAGATAAGTGGAAAGGTGGTAACAGGTCGTGACATTTCCAACATGAGGGGAAAAATTTCAGCCAGCAAGTGTAATCGAAATGACATTGAACAGCTGGTAAAAAAACTTAGCGAAAATAAAGGTTAGTTCTTTGCAAAAAAAAAGGGTTAAGTGGGAAAAAGACTGAGGTATAGCTTCCTATTTAAACATGTTACTAGACACTTGTTTAATATCAATAGAATTTCCCATTTTCCCCTCATCCATAATATTAGATGGATCAATTGCAGTTCACCACCAAATCATGTTTAGCTGATATTGTTTTTGAGTTGTATACAGGATAAATAATCATATAATCATAATTAAAAAATAATTGTACTTTAGGTGCTACTGCCAAAATTGTTGTCGATGACGAGAATAACCTGCTGGGTTTATACTATCAGGATAAACCAATGAAGGCTGCATATGATTCATTCCCTGAAATTGTTTTCATTGATGCTACTTACAAACTGAACGAGCTGAAAATGCCGTTGTATGTAATGCTTGGAGAAGATGGCAATGGCGAAAGTGAGATTTTCTGCACATTCATCGTATCCAATGAAGAGAAACCAACCATTCAGAAAATGGTGCATATCTTTAAAGATCACAATCCTTCATGGACAGGGACAAAAACAGTCATGACTGACAAAGACTTTAGCCCCGTTTACACTACACTGAATTTATTGGCACGGCACGGCTAAAATGGGTGCCCGTGCCCATTTCATCCATGCCCGGCCTTTGTTTTGGTAGCCTGAATACTAATAAAATTGGGCACGGGTACCCATTTTAGCCGTGCCGTGCCAATAAATTCAGTGTAGTGTAAACGGGGCTTTTGTTGAGCGTCAAGTATTAAAAGAAGAGTTTCCTGGTGTTCACTTGGCTATATATCTTTTCCATACCCAGAGGACTTTCAGGAGGGAGGTAACATGTGATAAAATGGGGATCACAGCAGAACAACGAAACCTGTGTCTGGAAATATTCCAGAAGATGACATATGCAAAAAGTGAGAATGAGTATCAGAATTTGTGCAAAGATCTAGAGAGAACAAAAGTTCCAAGTGTTTTGGAATATTTCAGGAAGAATTTGGACAAAGAACACCATGAATGGGTTGAGGGTCTAAAGTCTGCTAACTTGACATTCCTGAACCGAACTAACAACAGGTATGTACGCAATAGACATCTTTAGAAAGGATATATCTTTAGAGACTCCACTTGGTTAAAAAAAAGGAAAATCTAATTTTGTGATCACTTTCCTTTGAAATAAAAGGTCTCAACTGAACTGAATACATTCTGGCTGAACTCATACAGTAATTGAAGTGATCGCAAAGATAGATTGCATAATATTTCACCACAGCACTATTTGCTTATTTGTGAGAAATAAGACTAAAGAGTTCTATCCTTGAACAAATTTTTAGATTAGAATCCTATAATCAAAAGATCAAGACTGTGTGCTCTAGAAATACAAACCTTGACCAGTTTTATGAAGAACTTCTGGTTGTGTTTCAATCCATTAGGACTCTACGTGACCATAAGGCAATTACATTATTGCAAAAAGACCTGTTTCCCTGTATGCTGAAGGTACAGCAGAAGCCAAATATATGGAATTCTTAACCCCTTATGCATTTGGATTTGTGATGCAACAGCTAGAATTAGCCGCCAAAGTTAAAAGTATTCGCAGAAAGGATTCTGAAGCTGCCACTGAATTTGAAGTTGATGCGTCATCTGGCAAACTAACAGTGTCCTACTGTAACTGTGAGTGCATGTTCTTTATAGCAATGATGCTTCCTTGCCGACATATCTTTGCTGTTCGTAGAAATTTGGAGAAAGATGCTTTTGACATTTCTATTTGTGCTACAAGGTTGACAATAAGTTACTACAAGTCAAAACACTATGTCCTCAAAAGTTCCGATGGAAAGAAGTTTTGCTCAACTCCAGATTCAACTCCAGATGAAGCTGCTCCATTATGTGTTGAACAACATACAAAAAAGCGGATCTTAATAAAATGCATGCAAGATTTAATAAAAATGTGAAAACTTTTACGGAACTGGACAAGATGAATGCATAAGAAGATACGATTTTTGAAACTCTAACGAGTTTCCAACTTCTGGTTGAAAACTCTGATGACTTTTCATTTCTGGTTGGTGAAAGTCAATGAAATAGCGTGTTTCTTTTCTATTGCGAAATTTGTCGGGAAAATAGTGCTTTGTTGAACGTGCCCGACACGATGTCGGAAGAATAACCATTCCATCAATCCCCGTACGACAAAAAACACCCAAAAATATCAAGTCGATATTTTCCTTTTTGCGCATGCGCTACATGAATGTCGGATGAATGGCTATTAGACAGGGAGTTCCGGTGTCGGATGAATATCCACGGGGTTTTAAAAAAAAATTGTTGCCCACAGATCTTATCTGACTGGATCCAAAGAATGAACACCATACTCTGTGAAATCCCTTGCGCTTCCGTTTCCAAACTTTGCACACCACGACTATACAAGCAACAAATTTTCATTTTTGTTTATAACAAAAGGCATGCAGCACTAGCGGTAAATTAAAACATAATTTCTTAAAGGAAATTATTAAGATAGATCCTTATTTGAAGATCTGAAAGTAGGGCCGTAGCTAGGAGCTTATAATTAGGGGGTATATATTCATTAATTCATTTTCTGGCTGACTGATTTCCCTCGTTCGCCATTGTTCCCGCGGTAGATAAACATGACTATATGAATATACACACTCCCAATTAAGCGGTCTAGCAACGGCCCTGTCTGGAAGTCTAAAACCTGCGAAACTGACTAAGGAGGAAAGATACTTCTGTAAAGGATAATAGGCAGTCAACTGTGCTGTTGAACCGTCCTTTATCGCTGACAGTCTTGACTAAAACATTAGCGTGAATATAAATATATCTGGACGTAAAGTAGGGGAAGGACGTAAAGTAGGGGTAATTTCAGCGAAGTCAAGCTTTTTTCTATTCACACTGCGGCTCACACACCAAGGAATTAATTAGCTTTATTTTATCATCGAAATCAAGCGTTAATTTGTACCTGTGCGTAGCTGATGAAGAAAAGTTGGTTATTATCGAAAGGAAGAGCTGGTAACAATTCTTCATCGCCATTTGTTTTTCGCCATTTTTGATATGCCTTAAAAAATTATACGCATTGCCAAAAATTAATGACAAAATAACTTTTTGTGTCGTGTTGTAATGTAAACTTACTCGGTAAGCGTACTTCAGTCCTCCATTATCAGCAATGTTCTCTGATAATGTCCTTTCACCATTAGCCTAAGAATATAGCGTTTGATCAAGTTGACACATGAGGTAATTAAGGTATTTTACACATGGTTTTACTAAATATACAGGAATAAACAAGGGGAGATTTCGTTTTAGACCAATCAGCAAGTTTGTTTACATTTTCAATGACCCAATCAGAATGCATAAATTTTTACTACTTCCGGTAAAAAGGTAAATTATTTACCATTTTACATGAAGTATTAAAATTAAGACATTCTGACAGGCTTAGCTTGAAAAAAATAATGTAAAACAAATATGCCGATGACTTTAAACGAATTCCGCCTTCCTACAGAAATATCATTCTTGACGCTCAAACATTAAATCTATACTTCCGATCGCATGTAATATCCTCTATATATTGAACAAAATGTGGGTTGAATAACTCTGTTTCGTGTGTCGCACATACGTCAAGTTCTTTTTACAAAAATGAAAAACTACAGATAAACACTGATATATACTAGAATGCATGCACACTATGTACGCCGGTTTCCCAAAGGAAGTGCGTTTACGAACCTGTAGTCCAAATATTGTAACGTTGTTATACTCATCAATCAAACATTGTGACCGTTTTACGAAATTATCATACGATGAATTGGTCCACCATTGACGAAGGTTACCGTTTTCGTCGTATTGACTTCCTAATAGGTTCATGCAGGTATTTCAATTAAGCTTGTCAGTAACATTAGTCAAATAATGGTAGTACAATTATAAAATATGTGTTTAGGGGACCTGAAGACTGTCTTTCAAAGAATTTTAAGGAATTTTAACCTTCCGGGCTACTCAAGGGCAAAGGCGCTGGCATTTATAACTTTCATCAGGATCCTACCTGTCTTATCGAAGCCATGAGTGATTTCGTGACCTATCACCGTACCAAGAGATCCATAGTTGAATGCTCTAAAAAATTGCAACAGTCGAATGGTTACAAACGATGAGTTTGTAGCAAGGTAACGCAGGATAAGAAAATAATGAGAAACATTTAGTCCTTACTTTAGTCCACCGGCTTCGTAATAAGGTAATTGCAACATTCCTGGCAAAATAGCTGCAAGAGAAGAGAAATATGGTGAATGGATGCAGAGATATACCCTACATAATCTGCAGAATTCCAAAACGCTAATATATATATTAATTGAACATGATTTTTCTGCAAAATAAATTTGGAGTTGTAACACAGGTGATAATATAGGCAAAAATGTTCTCCGTATTTACCATACCCACCCTTGACGGGCATATTCAAACCTAAGAATGTAAATTTGTCCCTTTCCCTCACCAGCTCACTCATTACGAGTGCCTATAGGCCTTGGAACCCTAGGAGGCGGTTTAAAAGGAGAAAGGAACACAGACACAACCCAAGCCATACATCCATCCAAAGCGTTAATAAGCTTGAATATGAGAGATTGATTTTATGTATTTATCAGTGCGGATGTACATTCTTAACATATCAAATGTCTAAGTGCTACACAACTCATCTCATTGTCGTCATGAACATTCTTACAATGCAGGAAATAAGTACAGTTAAAATACGTAGGTATATATTATCCGCGCCAAGTACTTTTGGTTATCAGGAACCTATATATATATAATTATACAGACGAGAATAATTGAGTTGAATTGAATTGTTGAGTCGTTTATTTTATTTATTTTATGTTAATGTGCTTGTTATTGTACCTATTTGGTTAGGACCGAAAAGAATCACTGTTAATACTTACTTATTCCATTCTTTTTGGGCTGGTAAAAAGCATTGACTACAAGAGGTGAAGTTGATCGCCTTAAAAGAAACAGTGTTAAAAAAATCCCCTTAACTAAAGTAAGAATGACATGTGATTGCAAACCGCATGACGGATTGTTGTCGATTCTCGCCTTTTTCACGCAGTGACAAAAATTGCCGATCCCATCGCACATTTTGATGGCCAGATTTCTGGATGAAAGCCCAAAAGTTCATCGGAAAGCGCTCAACATTTGTCTTCGAGTACAATACCTGTTGATAACTGTGGGTTTGCTCAACTCGTTTATTTTCAACTTCGTATGAGCCTTACGGATATTCAGCTTGTTTTGTAAAACATCAGATTCACTCATCTGACCCTGTTATTAATATAATGTTTAAAAAATATGAAAACTTACGTAGTTAGAAATGAAAGAACAATATTACCATATATCAAAAATCCTCAAAATTTTTGGTGCCAAATTCATGTTACGGTTACAAAATTATATCACGGGCTTATGCACGCCTAAAAACGATCAGGTGATTGCAAGTTGATAGTTTTCGTATCCAATGAACGCCAAAATGTCAGCGTAGCAGGATAAATCGTAAAGTTGAGAACATCACTGATAACTGCATACACGGGGCTACGGAAGTTCTAGGGGGGGGGAAATAATCATATATTCACGTTTAGCATTATTCGTTTCTTTTGAAATTGATTGTTTCTACAGGTCTGCTAAAATGAATATAAGAATAAACCACCCCCCCCCCCCTTTACGATCTTCCGCGGCCTCTGACTGTATATGATATATCGGCAAGGGCGTTTGTGAGTGGAACTAGGGTTAGCAGCAATATCTGAACAACTAAAGCCAGGTTTACACTACGTCAGTCTATGTGCTTTGACCTGGCCTAGGCCTATATGTGAACGTTATTTATCCGGCCTAAACCAGGTCTGGACTTGACCTGAAGCACTCTTTTGGTTATGTGAACAGGTTTTATAATATGATTTGTATACGATCCATATGTACCCCTAGCAAGTAATACCTAAGCCGGGTTTACCGCACGTGCTTTGAATACGCACTGCTTTGACCTGGCCTGGACCAGGCCTTGGCCTAGATGTGAACGTCGTTTATCCCGCCTAGACCAGGCCTTGACGTGGTCTAGGCCACGAAATCCAGGCCAACAGCAGAAGGTGGCCTGGACCAGGCCTGGACCTGACCTGCGTGGGGCAAGATTTTGGTTATGTGAACATGCATGCTTTACCTAGTCCTGACCAATTTTGAGTTTAATAGTATGATTTTTATAACCACTTTTCGGCGTGAGTCTTTTTCCAAGTATTTTTTCAACTACTTTGGTTGTCCAATATAACAAGGAAGACAGCGTTAACGTGGCACATATTACCTAGACTTGTCCTAGACCTGCTCCAGGTCTGGGGCCGGTTGTACCAAGCCCGTTTAGCTTAAACGATGTATAAGTCAAAATTAAATAACGCTCTTACATCTCTCTTGAATGAGTAAACTTGAATATTATGCACTAAATATGTAGTGGTAAACAGCATCTTTGTATTAAGGTTAAAAACATTTAATTTGCTTGTTGAGTAAAACGATAGACTTGCTTTCCATTTTGAACTTAACCACCGTTTAAGCTAAACGGGCTTGATACAACCAGCCCCAGGTCTAGGCCTGAAGTGTAAACGCAGTTTTAATTGTGGACTTTTTGTGGTTTGGCCAGGGTATAAAAAGCCCTCGGAAATATAACTTTTGTTCATAATTCGAGTAACTAAAAACTTACATCAAAATATCTGATCAGTTTGTTTGCATACAAGTCAGACATTGAAATTCCGATCCAATCTTTCATAACTTGTAGCTACACGAAATGGTTATAAAACTATCATAATAACGTCATTGAGAATTTTTTCATGTTGCTTGTTTTTTTGTCGCGATATTCTACTCCATACCTTGAGGCGAGCATGAGCGCGGGTTTTATTGTCCATCCATTCTTGTTCGTCCAAGCCCGCAATAAATTGCCCTTTGATCTCAGTGAACATTTCTATTGCCTTTTAGTATAAAGAGATGACTGTATGAATCACTAATAAATAGGAGAGGGGATTTTGCATGCATGTATTTCTAGTCAATTCTTAAATAGACGCAGTGAAGCTGATTGAACAGCGGATCCTGTTACATTTTTTCAGCAGAAGTGCGACACTTAATCGAACATTTACTGTACTAAGAACTTTTATCGATAAAAACCAAACTTGCCGTTTTCAGGGCGTTTTCTGTTATGTATTGCTTTACGTACAACAGCGTTGTAGCATCTTTGTATTCGTCGCATGTATCCCTAACGCACGTTTTCCATCGGGGATTAGAATCCAGTCCAAAAGTGTTGTAATAACTCTGCTGTGCTTCTCTGAATGCCTTTGGTAGGCTATCGATAACAGCTCGAACAATGTTCCAGATTATCTCGTTAGCAAGCAAACTAAAAAGACAGAGTTGTGTTGTCTATTATATAGTATACCTAGTCAGTTCACGGCTGCAAGACAGGTTATCTACATTAAAAACGTACACTGTATTTCACCAAAAAAGGGGGCATTGTTTTAGTTACACCCGATCTACTCCAAAACCAAAACTCCCTAATTCTTGGGGTGTTTGGCAAAGTCTTTAGTCTTCACAACTTCTTATATAAAATCGCGTTTCAAGTTGCAAATAATATTGTCTATCTTGTGACTTCTTACCCCTTAGGTTTGTCTGTAAGCCAATTAACGATCAGTTTGATATTGTTCGGCATATATATCATGATTTTTTCATCCAGTGCGATTGATCTACTTGTGCCTTTGAATATTTCCTCAAGATATAGCGTCCAATTAAACTAAAGAAGTAGGCATATATGGTAATAATTAAATTTCAATCTTCAGTATTGTATATGGATGGCTTTACACACCAAGCATGTTGTGTTATGGTATGGTATGGTATGGTATGGTATGGTATGGTATGGTATGGTATGGTATGGTATGGTATGGTATGGTATGGTATGGTATGGTATGGTATGGTATGGTATGGTATGGTATGGTATGGTATGGTATGGTATGGTATGGTATGGTATGGTATGGTATGGTATGGTATGGTATGGTATGGTATGGTATGGTATGGTATGGTATGGTATGGTATGGTATGGTATGGTATGGTATGGTATGGTATGGTATGGTATGGTATGGTATGGTATGGTATGGTATGGTATGGTATGGTATGGTATGGTATGGTATGGTATGGTATGGTATGGTATGGTATGGTATGGTATGGTATGGTATGGTATGGTATGGTAAAACTGTATGTAGTAAACCTGTTTACCTACATACCTTGAATGATGTCAAATTATTCAACTCGCTAACTGTCATAATTGCAATATCTTTAAGTGCTTTCAAATCAGTTTCCTCTGAAAGATTTCGAACCTTAAAAAAAATCCAATGTTTATTCAATAATGATCTAATACTTGCATAATCTTAAATTATACTAATTGAAATTAGTTTTAACTAATTAATTGCAAAGTGACCTTTCAACAAATATGCTTTAAGCAAAAAATACGTACTCTTAAAAAATTATCTTCTAAATCGACAATACGGTTCACTTCATCATCAACACTTGAGTTTGATCCAAATAAATTGAACACGGTAGACATAAACTTCCTGTAGTCTTCATAAACGTCAAGTCCCTGAAAAATTATTAGAGACATTAAGCCTTTTGGAATAAAGTCATAGAGCTTAATTCGAGATAGCGCTCTCTGCGTCCAGAAATGCAGACATTCTTCACAGGAGGTAAAGATCTGAGATCATTAGATATTTTCAGGACATTCAACGATGGCTCTCTTGGTACGGTCGCAGGTCACGAAATCACTCATGGCTTGTAAAAAGAACGTAGACAACGTTTAAAACTCCCATATATGTCTATAATTATTTTTTTTTAACGACCCATTGTATTTATAGCTGCCGTCATCGTGTTCCTGTCCTACAAGCTTAAGGTCGTTACTACCAGTTTACCCCTCATTAGCAATATACAAAACTTTACACCACCGTATCTTATGCAATGTTAAAACAGATGCCAGCGTGGAAACTAGCTCTGCACGATTGCTTATTTACAAAACATTTACGGAATTGTGTGGTGCAAAATGGCAGTACGCGCATGTAATTATTCTGTTTTGCACAGGTTGATACTTTTAGGGTGATTATATCGTCTTCTATATCATCCTAAACAATCCCTTTCTTTGATGACACGAATTTTTCTTTCCAAGTTCATTTAAGCCTTTTGAATAACTACGTCACAACTTTATTTCTACTACCTTAGAGCCACCATAAATTTTTGGATTTCAAGTTTTATTCCAAAGACCTATGTTGAAAGATGCAAAGAATTTTTTTTCAACACATTCTATGAGCTTAGAGCTTACCTCAGATTTCTTGTGTTTTAGTACAAGCTTTTTTGAACGCAATTGTTCTTCGTCAAAAGTTGTCTCGTCGAAACCAGAAAATCCCCCGCTTATCTATGCAAAGAAAGCAATGAAATTTCACAAGTAGGCTATTTACAATCGTGCCAATCGAAGCGTTCCGAAGATGTTGACCAGTTCATTTCCTAACTTGAAGGAACACATATGCATCTGAACGATTCCTCAATAATTGGAAAAGTTCTTTAAAAAGTTCCTAACTTCCTGTTTCATTGACCAATCAAATTTTACGTTTTATTGTAGAGCAATCTGATTGGTCAATGAAACAGGAAGTTAGCGGGAACTTTTTAAGGAACTTTTCAAATTGTTGAGGAATTGTTCAGATGTATTCCTTCAAGTTAGGAAATGAACTGGTCAACGCTTTGGAACGCTTCTATTGGCACGACTGTAACCTCAATTGCTTATTAGAACTTTCGACTAGCGCTTAGCGATCGACTGCCGGCATATTTCTTATCATCACATCGGCGTATATGTTATTCGTCAGTAGAATTGTGCAAGCTCGCACAATCTCGAGATATGTTTTGGTTCCCAACCTCCGGCCTGCCCATCTTCTCCATCCCTTTAATTGAACATGACCATGCATATACCAGATTTATTTACCGTAATAAACTTCTCGGATGTTTTGAAAATCGAATGCTTTACATCCATTGCAAGGAATACGGGTGCCTGAACATCAGCAAGGGCTCTGCCAAGCATTTTTTCAAGTGTCCAAGCGTCCTCACTCCAATTCGCGTTAGTAATACCCCAAGAGCCATGTTTTTCTATTAAGTTATAAACTGGTCGTACTCCAGCATCTTCAATGTAAGACTCGTTCATGCAGGATTGATAGTGTACGAATGGTGGATGGAGAGATGAATTCAACTATAACATAATGCTGAATTTAAGACGCTTTGTGACAACAATAAAAAAGTAGCATATGCAATTCCCATAAAAAATGGTATAACAACTGCCTAAAATAGACAAAAACACTTTTTGACCTAGGGGCCTTCATCAGGAGCGTTGATAGGGAGAGGGTTGTTTAGGGATTCCTCGCCCCGGAAGCTCGTTTAATTTTTCAAAAATTTCAAACATCACAGGTATATTTTACTCGCCATCGCAGTTCTACTTACCGCTAAATATTTTTACCCCATATTTTGTTGATTTGCTTTAAATCTCCGGGAACTGAACTTTCAAAAAGTGTTTTAATTTCATCTTTGTCACTCCTAAGCAAAACTGTCGGCTATTTTGTTTTTGTTACTCACCATATATGAGCTGATATCAACTGTGAGTATCTCGATTAGTCAGATTATACCTCAAATTGAAATTGTCCAATCAAAAAACGTTATATGCATGTACCATGTGACAAAGAGAATTTTGCGGTATCGCATCCCAATCTCTTCCGAGATTATGGTGTGACATACAAAGTGTTGTTGTTTGTTTGAAATCAAGAAATTAACGATTCTGACGAGAAAATTAACCGTATTCTCCACGAAAGGCATACAGGAACACAAAGAAAAGTTAACTAATGTTAAAATACATGATACGATAATTGTTTACGCCTTCTTCGAATGCTTTTACTGATAAATATAAATAATTCTTCGGCGAACCTTTGAACTGTATGTTTTGCCTCTTCTACAAAAGTTCATAATACTTTTTTTGTATAATATATAATTTATAGACCCTCCGTTTGGGGAATTCGGCAAAATATTTCCGGAAGTGATAATATTTTCCGAGGGCCCCCTTTCACTCTAGATCTATGAATGATAAATATTAACATAGTATTGCTCAAAAAACTGAAAAAGTTAATACCTTAGAGTAAGTTGACATCAATTGATTATTTTCAAATAAATTCTTCAAGTTGCGCTGAATAATAGCGACTCCTTTATGTACCATACCAATCTTGGAATTATAATCAGGCACATCACCCTTCTCCAAGAATCCTCCACAACAGAACTGATAAAAATCATCACAAGGTTTGGTCGACTGGTCAAGTTTGTCTAAAATGTCTGACAAAGCCAAAATAGGCCCTAATATTTCAATGGAATTTCAGTAAAAAAAATGAAGCGAACTATTGTGGTAGCTAGGATATTACATACATTTATAGGAAATAGCGTGGGAGTTTGAGAGAACGAGAAATAATCAGTGGGAAATCAGTGGAAGCACTAGTTTTTCCACGTTATAGTTCGAGTTCTCCAAAAACTTCCACAAGTGATTCTACTTAACCGGCGAAGGCGATGTGATAAAAAGGCAATATTCACTGAGCCGAAAATTGTTTTAGTAAAAATTTCGGGGTGTTTACGAATAATAATCAACATAATTTCATAAAAATTCATAATTACTTTAAATTTCTTAGTTGAAATACAACAAAAAAAAGCTATAGTCACCGATCAGTGACTATCACTTCAGAGACAGTGAATCCTGACCAATCAGAATGCAAGAAAATCAATAGTCAGCTCGAGATTTATACCAAAACTGTATAGAAACACAGGAAAAAATGTTTTATTTCTTTTATAATATAAAAAAAATCCGATCAAAAACGATTCAAAAAACGACTTCGTACAAATACTATAATTTGATTCAATTACAAATTTTCATTACCTTACTTTGCTTGTCAATTTCGGCGGGAAAGGTTTCTATACAGTTTTAGTATACACCCGACTATTGTCTATTACAAATCCTACATTCCGATTAGCTACTCAACCGTTGTCTATTGGTGATGGTGAACGTTTAGGAAAAATTCGCTCGCACGACCGTATAAAATTGATTTAATTAAATTATTTTTCGGCGTAGTTGCGGTGTGTCGATTATTTTCTCGAAATTAATATATCTAGGCACAGGGTGTATACTAAAACAATTAGACAACTCGCCTTCGTTGTCTATGAGCGAATAGTCAACTCAGGCTTCGTCTTCGTTGACTATTCGCTCATAGACAACTTGGACTCGTTTTCTAATTGTTAAATAGAAACACGCTTCTCGACCAATCAGCACGCGCGTACTATATAAGTATTATAATTATGATAAATTTATATGATACATGCATGGAAAACAAGATATCGAATGAGAGCGGTTACAGCGAACGAGTGAGATCCCTCTCAGCACTAGAAAAACATTAGATATTTCATAAGGGATTTTTTGGCTTTTAAGCTGAGTTTTCTCTGCGAGAAACTCTTGGGTTATAGTCGGTAATGTAAACAAACGCTTTGTTTTCATATTGATCCGCTATATCTCTTAAAATATCCTGTCCTGTCGGAAGATTTATTACCCTTTCAGTTAGTATATTTCTAAGTGAATAAGAGATTGAGTTAATGAAGCCTTCGTATATAACTCCTCTTTAAAACATTTGAATATATTTGATGCGTAACCAGGTATTGAAATATACAGACGTTCTCTGATTAAAACATTATTGCACGAGCTTAATTTAAGAATGTCAGTCTGTAATACTTCCATTTTCTCCATTGGCTGACAGTCGAAAGCAGACTGACAGTCGAAAGCTCGTGAAATAATTAATATTTAACCAGAGAACGTATATATTTTTCAATACTCTTAAAACACTTATTTGCAGCTCAAAATACATCATTATTTTAATCGAGACATCCTGTTCTTTCTTATTCAAATATTCTTGGCACGTCTCTATGCCTTTATTATTGCTGTTTTTTATACGAAATAATAAAAGGACTTCGTCGACCGTGGAAATGACATTAAGCGTTTCGAAAATAGGCTACATGAATTTGGTTTTGCATGACCGTCCGTTTCGAAGCAAGCATATGCGAGCTGACCAGCCACATGCAGCTTGTGATTAAGATGTAGCATAGCTATAAATACCAGAACTATGGGTTTCTAATGCCGCAATATGCGTTTCTAGAAATAATTATGTAATATGATGCAGGCGACAAAACGAAAGTCTATAATATTGGCCTCGTTCACACGGTGCAAGATTGCTATCGGAACAGATCAAATTTTGAAGTTAATGAAAGATGGTGGAAATTTTTAATGCCCAAGACTTGATCAAACACACTAAATCTATCGAACTAATAAGCACTATTTGCTATGATAATCGTTGCTTCGTGACGGCAAGCGAAGATTTCGTGACGAGAGGACCGCTACCGTGTTAACGCGGCAAATAATAACACACAGTACATACCCGCAGCACTGACAACGCAAGTGGGGGAAGTGCACGTAGTGCCAGAGTCCGTTTCAGATTCTGTCTCCCCTGTGCGAGATTTTGTTTTCTCTTCCTGATGTGATGAATTCGTGGGTTTTTTTAATTTCTCCGTGAAATACAACGCAGCAAAAGTAACAGACAGAACGAGCAGCAGAACGATTGAAATGTACAAAACCAAGCGTATTTTCGAACGCTTTCGACTTCCAACATCACTTAGTAAAATAATAGGATCCATGTCATTCGCCATTTCGTTCGCCGTATTCATTTGGAACTTCAATCTCTGTGTAAAACCATCACACACAGACGTTTAAAGCGGAAGTCAAGTCCGTTCTGCGCATATAGGTTCTGCTCATAACAAGTGAGGGACCTCTGATGTGAAAATTGCCTAAATTCCGCATGTTTTTTAACATAAACTCTAGTTCATATTAATTTAGAAGCGTAACGAACCTAAATAGTGTTAGATATTCAGACAGCACACCGTATTTTAAAAAATAATGAAGTTCAAAATGTGAACAAACCGTTTCTTTACATACGTACGGACGTGACTTCCACTTTAAATATATTTATTATACAAACGTTTAATCTGTGTCATAGGGGAAATTTGCTAAGTAGAAACACTTCATAATGCAGCGTGTTGCTTTACTGGTCGCGTAGCGACAGTGACCTACAGTTTCGGCTTGGTTTTTTTTAGTATTATTTTCCTCTCTTGGGTCGACCCCCAGCGTCGCTAGCTGCAGGCCATATCACCCTAATCGGGAACCTGCGCATAGGTAAGTTACTTAGTAAACGTAACTTACCTAGTTATTATTGTTAGTTATTATTATCAAGAAAGGGATCAAAATGCTAGCAAACGCTTTCCTCATCTTTACGTTCATTACACATATATACAACTGCACACGCCGAGCACATACCATAGCCTACACCGGCTACCCTAAGTAAAAGATGTAGAGCGGTTTTGAAATGGGCTGTTCTGTGTTTCTCCTGCTTTCAACATGCGACATATAGTTCGGTATGTTGTTCATTTTTATTATGAAGAACATTTACGACACAAAATTTGCATAGTTGGGCTGGCTACGCCGCTGTGAACGACACAACCATAACGCCTAGTAGGCGTCTTGTTAATCATCTGATCAGCTCTCCCACGGTGTATCTGAATCTTCCGGTATCGCAGTCCACTGACCTGAAAGCTTTACTGGACTACGTACATTTGAATACGATGTAAACCGATCTAGAATTACAGGATTACGCTTAAAATTTTGTACACTATTTTTGAAGTCAGAATATCTATTATAAGCTGACGCTTTCAATCCTGATAACCTTTTCAAACTAAATTGTTTTTAGCCCAGTTATAGAACCTCTCGTAATCAGTCGACAGGCTGACGATTTAGTGCATGCCCCCCAAAAATTCTGGCTATATAATTCGCTATAATTATTCACTTGCAGGTTGGCTATGCTACTGATCCTAATAGATTGTGTTTATTGAAGTAAAACACGGGAGAGATAATTTGATCTAAATCATGTATCAGTTTGAAACTGAACATTGTAGCGGTCAAATTTTAAGCGCGACATGGCAGCACACGCATTTTCAATCACTGTTGCTCATGTTAGAGCTACAAATGGCGCCCCCTTTTTTAATTTTCCCGGTAAATCATGTATAGGCCAGTACGCCCTAGCCTCCTCCGCAGGCATCTCTATGTATTTATATTAGGCATTTATACTTAGCTTGGGTTAGCTGTGTCGGGGATACAAATGCCTAATATAAATACATAAGAGATGCCTGCGGAGGAGGCTAAGTACGCCCCTGGAGGAGTGAAAAAATGTGTAAATTGATAATATTGTGCAGAAATTTATTTGTCTACGATTTTTGGTCATATCATTCAAGCTTGATATTATACAGCAATAACCCATCTCTAATGAAAAATACAAACGGCAGAAGTGGCAGGTGATATCAACCTATTTCATTATTGTTTGGACTATCCTAACAACCCAGATTGGACGCGGATACGATCAAAAACTCTAGTGCATGCTAACTGCCAAAAGAGCAATTTTACGTCATATATACTTTAACTTTCTGAATATAACGCTGAAATTATTAAGTGTAATGATGAATTTCGCTTCGGTCGAAACATAATGAAACTGCATGAGGTGAGACTGAAAAGCAATTAAGGAGTAGCTTAACCAATAAGAATGAATCGCTTGCAATAATACTTTTAACAAAGCAATAACAGAACTAAATATTTACTAATTTGGCGTCACACTAACTTTAACGTGATGTATAACTGATTAACAATTTTAATGGTTTTCAGTGGCAGGTGTCAAATAACAGACGTAGCTACACTCAACGAATGACCACCTAACACATACTCTCTAACACAGTCTCGCGACATCAAGAAAGCATACCGTAGTGAAGCATCAATACCGCGTTATATATATATATATATATATAGCTTTTGATTCCAGCTGGTGTACATTTCTAGCGTTTAAAGAGCGAAAAGTTACTTTTATACAATTGGAATTTGCAAGTCTCTAGAATTTCATTGACAGAAATGGCAGAAACGTCTTTATTAGTTTCTTCACTTTTGAGATTCATTCTTTTGTTACTGGTATTCTTGAATCTTTATACCCTTGGACAAAAGCAAAGTTTGTGCTATGAAGGACCAAGACAAGGTAGGTTTCGTTTAAGGATTTGCGGCACGAAACGACAAGCCACATGTTAGTCTTTCGAAGCAACTGCATGTGTCGAAAGGCAGAATACATGATTAAAATAATCGTGAGGACTCGTAAGGATGGTGTCTTGTGCTTGTTCAAAGCTGTTAATTCTATTCGACTTGTGAACCGAACTGCTCCCACAATGTCACAGGTCAATGTGACATAGTTCGGGTAATCGTTTATTTATTGTGCACATACGACGACTTTGTAGTGGTTTTTACAAACGGATTGCTCGCAATTAAATGACATAACCCAAGTCATAGCAAAGTCGGTTGGCTATATATGATTCCCTCAAAACATTGGATGATGTTTCCAACGTAAATTACATCTTCCTTATATCATAGCAACAAGGAAAATATCTCAGGGGCCGGTTGTATGAAAGGCGGATAGCGCTATATCCATCGAATAGTGATTTTTTCAACAGCTCTAAAAGACTAAAAATGCTCGAAAAGCTATAAAATTTCATTTTTGGAACAGCAATTATTAAAGAGGATCCTTGATTTAGGATTACTAAGATTTAATCAAAGTTATAGCAAACAACGGGTGATTTTAAAGCGATTGAAAAACGACTATCCGGTGGATAGCGCTATCCGGCTTTCATACAACCGGCCCCTGATGTCTAATTTTGCAGGAATAAACATAGACCGATCAATTTCATTTTCAATATTTTGGTATTAGAAATGGTTCCTTGGAAAAAATATATGGACTGATGTTGACTTTCTATCAGTAAAAATGAATTAAAACCTGTCTTTACACAGATCATCGTTTGAAAACCACTGTGGCAAAATATGTCCACGCTTTGACGGGAGGAGAATGTATTTTATTTTGCATGCGTGACGATGAGTCGTGTAGAGCAATTAACTTCAATAAATCCTCGACGTCTAAAGATAATTGCGAATTCCTCAAAGACACCGCCTCAGAAATGTCCAAAGATGATTTACACGAAAATGAAGACTATGATTACTACACATTACTCAGTCCTACAAGGGTAAATAATTATGTACAATTCTTTTGACCGGTAGCACCATTAACAGGCGCCCGTTTTTACTGTGCAATTGTTTCGATGCCGAGCAGCTGTTCAAAAATTGCTGAACCACGCGAAAGAGGAAAAGAAATTGTTTTCTTATAATTTCTAAGATATTGAAGTAATTGGACCATATTAGATACCAACGCAAAGAATTTGTATTTTGAGTATCTTGACAGAATAGAACTATAATATACAGGGTGTCTCAAAAAAAACGCAACCACTTGAATATGCAAGAATATTAATATTGTTCGGGTTTGCACCATAGTTCAGTTAAAATGACTTTTAGCAATTTAAATGAAGGATTAAGAGCCATTTTCAATTCCCAGAGGTGCTTATCTATTGCGCTTTAGAGCTGTATTAATGTTCTTGCATATTTAAGTGTTGCGTTTTTTTAGACACCCTATATATAACAAACGATTGATGCGGCGGTAGTGTGTTACAGTCGTGCCAATAGAAGCGTTCCGAAAAATGTTGACCAGTTCATTTCCTAACTTGAATGAACACATTTGCACAATTCCTCAACAATTTGAAATGTTCCTTAAAAAGTTCCCAACTTCCTGTTTCATTGACCAATCAGATTGCTCAAAAATAAAATATAAAATTTGATTGGTCAATGAAACAGGAAGTTAGGAACTTTCTAAGGAACTTTTTAAATTGTTGAGGAACTTCTCAAATGTGTTCCTTCAAGTTAGGAAATGAACTGGTCAACATTTTTCGGAACGCTTCTATTGGCACGACTGTAATAATTCATGTTCATAAACTATAGTATGTGAACAATACATTTGAAAAAAATAATTAATTATGACTATTTTGCATTACTGACAGGTTTCATATTTTGCATTATAATAAGCCAACCTGGCCTCGTTCTCGTTCCTGAAAACAAAAGAAATGTTTTACAACGAAAACGAGATTAATGGACTTTTTGCATAATCGACCACAGGTGGTGTCACATATTTCGACCTCAATGGACCTTTTTCATAATAGACCAACTTTTTATTTAATTAGGCAACAAAAAAGTGCATACTCATACTAAATTTTGCAAAATTACCAAGTTTGGCTTCAAGATACAAGATATTGTAAAGTACGGAGTATATATATACGGCCTTAAGCGTGTAACTAAATTATAGTTAAACGTTTCCGGCCATAGTAAAAAGGTATACAAAATGGGTTACCTCGCAGGGCTATATTTTCCGTAATACTTGACATTTTGTGGCCACACTTGCAATTATACTAATTTCGGTATGCTGGTTTTAGCTGTGGTGATTTCTTTTCTTATTATAAAAGTGGTCAGTATACATGCTATATACATTCTGAGAGAAAAATACTTCTATCATTCCGAGCAAAATACGCGATTCAAACTTGTCTATTTACATCACTAGTTCATATATTTGCCTTGTTGATTTTTCGTCATAAAATGTAACATATTCACACAGGTCAAATCATGGCCACGGTAAATAACTTGCGACTGGCTTGATTTATTACATTTCTCTTATCGCTGTGTCCAACAGGAAGCTTTGTGTTTGAGCTATGAAATTATTTTCGCTTCTCTCAAAAAGATCGAGCACGATTTGCCGGTCTATTGTTCAGTCTTTTACACGTTCATTCGCACAAAAGGAAACATTTCAAGTCGTTTAACACTTTCTATTAAGAAAGTCGCAAAGGTAATGATTTCATAATGAAAGTATTTAAGCCCTCACTTATGATCTCACAATCTCTGGCAGGCCCACAGTCACTGGACACGATTCGGTAAGGCGACGCGAATTTTCCATTTTTAGAAGCAAATAAATTCAATTCTGAACGGACAGAGATATGAGTACCAGACCAGTCGAAAGGTACTATTCAGTAACTAGTTTCCTCTCACTCACTACTTTTCCTCAAACCTAAACCTGATAAAACTAAGGCGTAAAACAAATAATATAAAGCGCGATTCATGTACAGAGTTGTTAGATATGGAAATATTTGAGGCCAAATTGTCATTAGTGCTACCACCTTAGGATAGGAACTAGCTAGTGTGATGTTGTTTGCATCGAATATATAGCTATCTACTAACCCTGTTCATATGCAATGTTAATTCGTGCGTTCATTTTTTCATCATATACCACTTGTCAAAGTTTGGTGTTCGTAGCATTTCATTTGTCGAGAGCGAATCACGTGAGAGTGACAAAATTTTGATGTCGCCCACGCGAGCCCCCTGCAGAGTTTGATAACGTCTAATCTCATGGGAAATAACAACTTTAATCACCCTTGGGTCCAAAAAACATAATGTTTTCATCGGTCGCAGTAAATAAGTGTTTTATGTTTTTCTTTCCAGAAGCCTCAAAATGTTTCTTCAAAGACTAAGCCGTCCCAGATAACACAAACCTCAGGTAAGCTTTACTGAGTAAGAACTGCAACGAGCTTGCAATAGAGTAAAGAGTGTGGAGATAGAACATAGAGCACAAATCTTCGCTAATCTTGTTGACAGAAAACAAAAACTATAATTAACAAGCACACTTAAATTAAACTGAATAGAATTTTTTCCTGGTATACTATGCATAATGAAGCTTACATTTACTTTATGAATGGATGTGCTTCTTTAGGCAGTGTCCGGGGTATTGAAATCTATAAACCTGGCAGTGACTTAATAGTATTTCGCACTTTGTAATGTAATTCTGGCGGGCAACTCCCCAAATCGACACGAAATAACACTCGAAAACAGTTGATTTATTCATGCCTTATAACATTGTTGAGACAGCAAAGAAAGAAAATCCCATGATACAACCACCGAAGAGCAAGTCGCGTAGTCATAAGTAACATTTCATTTATGTAATCTGAGACTACTCATATCTGAGTATTCAAAACACGATAATTTTACTGAGATGTTTTATACTACAGCACAGAAAACTCTGACGGGAAAAATGAATCTTCATAATCTCAACCACGAAGTAAATTTCAAAGTAAAAATCATGCAAATTAAAATAGATATTCATACCACCATATATATAATATATTCATATACTGCCAATTTAGAGTAAAATCTCTAAAAACGGACATTCAAAACTTAAAACTAACTACTAAGTGTAAGTCCCTCGAGTACGAACTGAGAATCCATGCTAAGCTCTCAAATTTTCTATCGAAATATAAATTTTCAATTTATATAGTTGAGTCTCTTATGACAAAAATAAAAAATTCCCCAACCAGGCAACACAGAAGGATATAATTTAAAATGCAGTGTAACAACTGCATAAAATAAACAAAAAACTTCTCGACGTTTCGACGTAATATAAGGGTTTTCGTCAGGAGAGTTAGTATGAAAAAGTCGCTGCCACGTTAATTCCTGGTTATACTTTAAATTTTTATACTGCAACATTCTCCTACTGCCAGTAAAATTCCTGGCAGCAAAAATATGAACACCAACATCTCAAATATACCTAGTGCATGGCTATGCATGTATACCGAACAATTAATTATACGCAAGTGAAAATTAAAACGATAGGTACTACTACAAAAATGATTACAGTTTTGTATATATTATAGTTTTTACGTGCCATAATATCATAACAACGTTTATTGTCCTTTTGTAGCAAAATCTGTGGTAACAAAAAAGGGAAGCTCACCAACTAAGCACTCTGTGGTAACAAAAAAGGGAAGCTCACCAACTAAGCACTCTGTGGTAACAAAAATGGGAAGCTCACCAACTAAGCACTCTGTGGTAACAAAAAAGGGAAGCTCACCAACTAAGCACTCTGTGGTAACAAAAAAGGGAAGCTCGCCAACTAAACACTCTGTGGTAACAAAAAAGGGAAGCTCACCAACTAAGCCCTCTGTGGTAACAAAAAAGGGAAGCTCACCAACTAAGCACTTTGTGGTAACAAAAAAGGGAAGCTCACCAACTAAACACTCTGTGCTAACAAAAAAGGGAAGCTCACCAACTAAGCCCTCTGTGGTAACAAAAAAGGAAAGCTCACCAACTAAGCACTCTGTGATAACAAAAAAGGAAAGCTCACCAACTAAGCACTCTGTGATAACAAAAAAGGAAAGCTCACCAACTAAGCCCTCTGTGCTAACAAAAAAGGGAAGCTCACCAACTAAGCACTCTGTGCTAACAAAAAAGGAAAGCTCACCAACTAAGCACTCTGTGATAACAAAAAAGGAAAGCTCACCAACTAAGCACTCTGTGATAACAAAAAAGGAAAGCTCACCAACTAAGCCCTCTGTGCTAACAAAAAAGGGAAGCTCACCAACTAAGCACTCTGTGGTAACAAAAAAGGAAAGCTCACCAACTAAGCACTCTGTGATAACAAAAAAGGAAAGCTCACCAACTAAGCACTCTGTGATAACAAAAAAGGAAAGCTCACCAACTAAGCACTCTGTGCTAACAAAAAAGGAAAGCTCACCAACTAAGCACTCTGTGGTAACAAAAAAGGGAAGCTCGTCAACTAAGCAACCAAGTAAGTCACAAACAATTAACTAAAATCGAGTGTAGTGAAAAAGAGTTTATAGCAGACTGTAAAACAACGATCTTCCGCTGTCCTTGGTCAGATTACGTAGATTTAATTTCTTTGTGAATGTAATTAAATGTGTTATGACAGTTGAGAAGTCAACCAAGAAAGAGCTGCATACAAATTTTCTGTTTTCGTGTTCGATTATACCAATTTTGTTGGCCAATTTGTGCATTGTTATGCATGTGTCTTTGAATGAATTGATTTTCATCTACGCCAAAAAAAACATGGCGCCGAAAGTTATAAATATTGAATATCCAGTTGAAAGGATAAATATAATAACAACGAATTCACGTAGAGATATAACGTGTTCCGTGGTGGTTGAAATTCTAATTATCGAATTAATAATTAAATATTTAATTGTTCAATAAAATATTGATTTTCATCTATAGGGTATTGCACACCCATGTTCGATAATTAATTCTAAGAAATACAAGCACAGCAAGTATGATTTTTTCAGCTTGCTTGTTCAAATCGGATAAAAAAATGCCGAAGACCGCATTTTTTTCTAAAAAACCAACCTCGTGCCCAGAGTCTTTGTGCAAAAAACACAATCTTGCGCTACTTGAATGCTTAAGCCAAATTATAATCAAACCTCGTCGTTTGCTTGAAACAAAATCCCCATTGTCAATGGAGATTAATCTCGACTTTCTCAAGAATCCTTCAAAGTTGATTGCAGGCTACTGCAGCGGTTTTTTGCTTTTTTATAGTATATCTATCACCCACGGTCCTGCGGTTTATAAAGTTAATGACATCAAACGACCCGCGCTTCTACTTCAATGCTTTCGAAGATGGCAGTTTGTTTGTTAAAGTTTAGTCAACCAATAATCCTTTTCTGTTAAAAATTCTCATGATTATTAGCCACAAGCAGTCACAAGGAAAATATGAGGACGTTTGCTAGTTTGCATTTTATCAAATCAGGATTGTCAGAAGCAATATTGATTAATTGGCGTCTAAAAATTCCTTGCAAATCAAACGGTTGTTGATGTTATAATAAAAATTTGTCACAACTGGAGTGAATGAGCTTTAAGTTACCACAAAATCAGATTTATCAAACTCATTAAACATACAAAACGATCTCTGACGATTGGTGCGTTTATGCCTTTAGAAGACATTTATCAAGTGTAAACCTTTTTGACACACCCGACCTGCGTGCATGTATACTTCTAACAAGAGCTATTCTCTGTAAAGGTCCTAATAGAATTTCCATAAGTTTCCTTCTAATTTTCGCCCTGTCGAGAAAATATTTTAGAATTTAAAATACCTGCCTCACGTGCATTTCACCCGCAAGTAGTATAGTTCGAAATTTTATGCATGCAATAATTTGAATAATATAATTTCTTACAGTTTCGGGATGACCAATATATCTTGCCCTCACAATTACTTTTTGAGCGGTTTTCATGACTATGTACGCGATCACTTTCTGTGGATCGACGCAAATTCAGTATGGGTCAGAATGTTATAATGAAACAACAGGCGATGAAAACAGATTGATTTGTTCAAAACCTGGGTATTTTATCGTTGGATTTCAAATGGAAAATAGGGAATTTCGCATCGACAAACTTCAATGCTGTAACATGAGACAATGCGGTAACTAATGTCTTACGATAAGATTTCAGCGTATCTCTAAATGTACAATAATATCCTTATTTATTACCTGTATACTTATCCTTATTTTTAAATTTGCACTGCTGATAGAACGTAATGAAAGTTGTTCCTAAAACACCCTCGTGCATGTAGTTACTTCTAACAATTTTAATAGCTTACCCTATTTCTCTTCTCAATTTTGGAAAGCCCTATGCAACAAAGCACAGGGAACAATTTTCAACATTTAACGTCTTGTTTGTTCAAGCCAAAAACAAGTACTAGTTACAGCATGGAAACAACTAGTTACCGTATGGAAACAACGTTTCTTCCACTCGCCATCTTTCACCTCTTCAATTGGTATTAGCTTATTCCAAGAGGACGTATTTGCTTATCTTTGTTGCTCTCTATGTTTTTCATTCTCATACTATAAAAAGTGCGATTATAGTATTTGTAAATATATACCGATATACCATAAATTAATTATACCGAACGTAGCTTTAGTTACTTGCATATACTGCACTTTTTTGACACTCAGTTTGGCTAGAGTCGATTTAATTCATCTTTAATGCAGTATTGCATTTATTAAAGGTATACTAAAGTTTATTCGAGTGGGCATGCATGGTCCAATGGGAAATTCCTGTGATAAGTAAGCACAGATCCAATGCACCTAGCTGCTTGGTCACAGAATGAGACTCTGCAAAAAACAATTAAAAAAAAGTTCACGTTTTCGTACCATTCGACTTTGTTCTTTTCACTGAGACGTTGCTCGCATCAAAGAGATTATGGATAACATTGGATGCGATTTTGCTTACGTAAAATTCAATTTTATCTTTTAACTACTGTTTTTTGTTTCGAATTTCATTAATTCAACATATTGGAATTTTGTTAGTTTGGTTTTATTGAGTATTATACATTAGATGCACGGCAAAAGATTGATCAAGTTGTCGCATCAGGGGTGAACAATGTTGTGCTGCACCCTGGGAACAGTATTGTTAACAATGTTGTTGAACCTTGTTGAATCATCAGTGTTGATGCAAACACGATCCAATGTTGTTGTAAAAAGTTGCAACAACATTCATGCTGCAACAAGCTTCAACAACATTGTTAACAAGGGACATGGCGCAGCTCTCGGAAGCTTTCGTCCTTTCCGTGGATTCCGCAACCTCCGTATGTACTTCGAGCCCATTTTGCTAACGTCAAATGCATTTTATCATCCAACTACAGTTTGCGGTTTTCGCAATTTATTACAGCCGTCCCAGCAACTGAAGCGTTCCGAAATATATCAAGCAACTCATTGTTTTGCTCAAATTTATTAGTTGGCTTACGAACTTCATCAAATATTTGAAAAACTCCTAACTTCCCGTTTCGAATTGACCAATCATATGCGTCTATTTATTTTATTATCCAATAGGATTAGAGATTGGTCATTTCGAAACCGGAAGTTTTTAAGAGTTTTTCAAGGAGTTTCCTAAAATATTCTATGAACTCCATAAGCCAACTGATAAATTTGAGCAAATGAATAACTTGAGTAACTATTTTTCGGAACGCTTCTATTGCAGCGACTGTAATTCAAGCGACACGTTTCTGCCTAAATTATAGTTGCGGCCATAGAAATGCTGCGAAAAACATGTATCGTTTGACTTACACAGTCACTAAAATACCTTATACGAAACTCCCTGAAACTCTGTTTGTTTTCATTGAGTAATTATTTATCCAAAAAATACAAATTAAGTATATACATCTCTCTGAGACGGCCGCTTCCGAAATACGTTCGACAAGAGCAGAAAATACTAGTGTTATAACAGGTATATAACCCTAATTTCGAGAAAGTGTTTTTATAACCTTATACAAAAACTGAAATATTTTATTCTCGAAAGAAATCTGACTAAAACCTTTCTTCCATCTCTGTGCTTAACTTTTCATCCATTTCCAGCAAGTAATGAACCAAATGACCCAGCAGGTGATAAAACTCGTTCTCTAGTGTACGTAACCTGCCGAAAGAGCAATTTTAAATGATACTTTAACATTCTGATTATAACGCCGAACTTAGAATTAGTGGTTACAAATGTCCTGCAATCATTGTTTCTTATACCACCACAGTTACTTTCATGCTATTTTGAATTTGTTTGAATTTTGCACAACTTTATTTCGTAGTTCGGGTCAAAGCAACATGAAACGGCATTAGGTGAGTTTGAAATACCATCATATAAGGTCTATAACCTAATATCCTAGGGCCGGTTGTATCAAGCCCGTTTAGTTTAAACGAAGGATAGTTCAAAATAGAAAGCAAGTCTAACGTTTTATTCAACAAGCTAACCAAATGTTTTTGCCCTTAATACTGTTTACAACTACACCATACTCTGTGCATAATATTTAAGTTGACTTATTCAATTCGAAAGATTTGAGTGAATGAGTGAGCGTTATTTTATTTTGACTTATCCACCGTTTAAACTTTTCCACCGTTTAAGCTAAACGGGCTTGACACAACCGGCACCTGCAAGATAGCGACTGGCGTAGCCAATAAGAATGCATCATTTTCAATAATACTGAGAACTAAGCAATAACATATGTAATTATTTACTATAACTAGCATAACACTGACTTAATTAAGACTTTAAGATCTGAACTGGTCAACAATTTTAATTAGCAGGTGTCAAACGACCGTTGGACGCAACATTAATATATATAGACATAATTTATCATGCACGTAACACAAACTGTCTGTCGACATCAAGAAAGTGTTATATTTTTCTAAAGCTGGTGTACATCTCTGGCGCTGAAAGGAAGAGTGAAAAGTAATTCTCATACATTTGCAAGACATCTGAGTTGAAACTGGCCATGGCAGCTACGCGTTTACGTGGTTCTGTGCTTTTGAGATTCGGTCTTTTGTTAATGCTATTTTTGAATTTTTATGCTTTTGAACAAAGGCAAAGTCTGTGCTATGAAGGACCAAAAGAAGGTAGGTTTCAATATTGTACGTTTGCATGGTGACATAAAATCTGTAAATTATAGCTTGTAGGTATTTATAATGATATACTGCTAAGATAATGCTATTGCATGCACTGTCACTGATGAAGGCCCGGGTTAACTGACCGAAAGCTTTAAATTTAATTAAATACTTACATGGCATGTATGTATACTTAAGGTAGGTTTCGTTTAAGAATTTGCGACACGAAGGGCAAGCTACACATCTCGCCTCAAGTTAGCCTTTCGAAGCAATTGTACAGCTGATTGTAAGACAGGATTCATATGATTAAAATAAGGAAGTCGTGAGAATGATGTCTTGCATGTGCTTGTTCAAAGTTGTTTATTCTATTCGACGTGTGAACCGAATCGTTCGCATGATGTGAGAAGTCAATTCGATTTAATGTAGCATGGTTCGGTTAGTCATTCAATTATTGTGCCTGTGAAACGATGCTTTATACATTTATGCGGCGATTTTTCAAACGAATTGATCGAAATTCACGAAATGAGATATCTATCAAGGTAGAACGACGTACGCCGGTCGGCAACAATTCTTAGAACAGCTGATAATCTTCCCAACCGGCAACCACGCAATAATATTTTCAACGTCAATGACACTTTCTTTATATATATAGCAACAAGAAAAATATCTCAGATATCTAAATTTTGCAGGAATAAACTTAGACCAATCAATTTATTTCCAGTATTTTGGTTTTCTATGGTTCCTTGGAAAAAACTATCTATAGTAAACTAACATATTGTAGGCTTTCTATAAAAGAAATAAATTATAATCTTAATCATTTTAACAGCTGCAATGAACGATTTTTTCGTTACACAGATCATCGTTTGAACACCACAGTGGCAAAATATGTGCACGCTTTGACGGGAGGAGAATGTATTTTATTTTGCATGCGTGACGATGAGTCGTGTAGAGCAATTAACTTCAATAAATCCTCGACGTCTGAAAAAAATTGCGAATTCCTCAAAGATACCGCCTCAGAAATGTCGCAAGATGATTTACACAAAGATGAAGACTATGATTACTACACATTACTCAGTCCCACCAGGGTAAATATTCACAATTTTTCTTAAATTCACAAGTAATAAACTCTGTAAATAACTGTGACCGGTAAATACATTAGGCTATAGCACCATTTTTAGGCTCCGTGCGATTTTTTCGATGCCGAGCAGCTGTGTTATCCGAGATCGCTGTCCGCCAGGATAATATGCCGACACGCGAGATAAAGAAAAGGGAATTGTTTTCGTGCATTTTCTAAGAAATTCGACCATGTTGGATTCATATCATTTTTCTGGGGAATGTATATTTTACCATTTAAGACGTTTATTGCAATTTCCGTCGCTTTATTGCAAATTTTTGTCGCGTCACTAACGCATTTCTAGCTCCTGGGCCTCGTTCTTACCCCTGAAATTGAAATAAATATTTTACTAGAAATATAGCATGCAGCAACCCCTCCCTATTTCAAACCAAGTACACAAAATACCTAAACTTATATTGCAATGACATTAAACTCAAATATATTTTACCAAGTATATTATAGCTAATGTTTCCACGGTTCTCTGAAAATGATCAAAAGCAAAAAATTAAATAAATAAACGGCGTACAACGCTGAAAATTATACAAATACAGCTCATCCTTACGCGAAACAAATACGAAATAAAAAAAGTAAACACGCACCCTTTGAAAACACTTTGAGCTTGCAGATTTTGAAATATTTCTCTTACACAACTTTGCCTTGACTGTATCCATGCTCTTCTTTGCTGTCTGCCATGCTTCATATATCTTGTTTCGTCCCCTTTAATTTTGCACAAAGTTTATGAAACGCTTTTACAAAAAGGTTTACGAATTGATTACCAGTCGTTACTCGCGCGTGCGCATGACTTACAAAAGCACCCAGCGTCGAGCATCCATGACATAGAATTTGGACAACTTTGGATTAAGCTATGTTCTCCCGGGGCCGGAAGTAATTCTTAATCTCTGAAAATATTTTATAACCAAAATGAGGTAAGAATACGAAAGAAATTTCTGATTCCAAGACCACCTCTCACAGTTTTAGGCACGGATTGACGCAATTAGTAGAGTGATGACTGTTAGAATATCGCACAGACAATGATTTAATAATAACGAAGATAAATGAGACTATTCATTTCCTAATATGTATAGTCTTAGCCAGTGGCGTAACTAAAACGATAATTTGGGGGAGGGTGAATTTTAATATAATTATTCAGTCCTGCCCGACGGATTTCTATTGAAAGATTTCACAAAAGAAATACGTAGGGCTGAACTGGATATATGAATATTCACCCCAATCTCCCGCATTTATCGTTTTAGTTACGCCACTGGTCTTAGCTGCATCGATCGAGACGACTGAAAGACGGCTTCTTAATTATGATTTGCATTTCAAGTAATAGTTACGAATAATCACTTCCTCTGCTGTTATAACATTAAGATAACATGAAACAACCAAATGCGAAACAAATTACGAGAAAAGCAGTAGAAATTGTGATAGTGGAGTTGTTCTTTCACTCATTTCTTCTCTTTCCGTGTATATGTTTCTGTTTTTGCTTTTCAATTCATTTTCCAGTTTCCTTTAACCTAAACATTTTAAAAACTAAGTAAAATCGTTGTGTAATGTTGCACGGTTGTTTATTTCAGAACCCTCCGTATGTTTCTTCAAGCGCCAAGTCGATACAGACTACACGAGAAGGACAAACAGGTAAACTCTCATGATCATGGCATTTAGAATGTTATGAATTACCTTTTAATTGCGGGAACCACTGAGTATTTTCATAAAATACACAACAATAATAACTCCGGATAAAATTTGTAAACAACCGAACTTTGAAACTCTTTCGGTGTTTTATCTTTGCATGAGACAAAGCAGCCTGTTGTTGTGGTGTCCCAGTACACGATGAATTTACACGGTTGTTTACAAATTTTCATGCCCAAGGTGCTCCAAAGCATACATAGGAAAGACAGACAGATGCCTCTATACAAGACTCAACGAACATGCATCGACAGACAAACAATCAGAAATTTATAAACACATCAACACTTGTGAACAATTTAACCACCTGACAAATCTATTACAACTTAATATAGACGAACCCAGCACTGAACAATTTAATTTGACACTCTTCCTATTGAACAACTGTCACATCATAGATAGGGCTAAGCATTGGTCAAATCTACTGTTCAAAGAAATTACACATAGTATATACAACGCATGCACATGTAAATTAATCATTCCTGATGATGACTAAATAAAGTCGAAACGTTGAATCAAAATGCTTACTTTATTCGGAGGTACTATTGTCGTGTAAATTAACTTTTCTTTAATAATTATAATAACTTGTAGGTACACCACGTAAGTATTAAATACTGCAAAGCTTTCGGTCCGTTAACCCGGACCTTCATCAGTGCAATTACTTGAATACACGTTTGCGCGTCACTTAAATATCATGTTAGTCGTGATTAGTTTGCTCGCGCTATTAATTAAACGGTTTCATTTAATTAAGTTCTAATTAATGCGCGCGCCCTAGACAAGTATTTGACTAAGAGACACCGAAAAGAGCACGCCACGTACTATTAAGTGGCTTTCCCTCTTGGACGATAGTTTGATGTTTATAAATTTCAATAGATTCTCTCATTTTACGAGAGACAGTAAACTTATCGTTTGCTAAAATGGTAGCATCGTTCCATTTAATGCGATGATCATAAGTCCATGCATGGTGAGCTACTGCAGACTTATCCAGTTTACCTTTCTCGCAGTTCGTCTTATGTTCTTTAAGACGTATTGAGAGATTTCTACCGGTCTCTCCAATGTAAACCAAACCACATTCACATGGAATGCGGTACACACCAGGTTTCTGTTGTTCATCGACGCCATCCTTGTGTGTGTAAAGAGCGCGAAACAATTTGTTATTGCTAGAATGGTAAACTTGTATTCCAACTTCTTTTAAAATCCTAACGATTTTATATGAAGCTGGGCCAATATATGGTAAACAGACAGAGGATAGATATTCCGTGTCTTGCCTCTGTCTTTGCTGTTCATTCATAGCATGTTCTATGAATTTCTTAGGATAACCATTCATAAACTGGATAAGTCTGCAGTAGCTCACCATGCATGGACTTATGATCATCGCATTAAATGGAACGATGCTACCATTTTAGCAAACGATAAGTTTACTGTCTCTCGTAAAATGAGAGAATCTATTGAAATTTATAAACATCAAACTATCGTCCAAGAGGGAAAGCCACTTAATAGTACGTGGCGTGCTCTTTTCGGTGTCTCTTAGTCAAATACTTGTCTAGGGCGCGCGCATTAATTAGAACTTAATTAAATGAAACCGTTTAATTAATAGCGCGAGCAAACTAATCACGACTAACATGATATTTAAGTGACGCGCAAACGTGTATTCAAGTAATTGCACTGATGAAGGTCCGGGTTAACGGACCGAAAGCTTTGCAGTATTTAATACTTACGTGGTGTACCTACAATTGCAAGTTATTATAATTACTAAAGTCGCCATGCAATCATACAAGAAAATTATAACTTTTCTTTGTTAAGTTTTTCCTAAGAACAATTTTGTAATAACAAATATACTAAATTTTGCAATGTCGTTTAAATTTTTCTTTGCATGCAAGTTGATTTAAAACCTATACTTTATAGTTAGTGTTTGAAATGTATATATGTTTGTGTGTTTGGTCCCAAAAATTTCCCTTTTAAGGAATGAATGGGGAATGGCATAAGACATTTAGATAAACTTGTAATTCTTTGAAAACCTGCGGAACAATCTATGATAAAACTGTACAAATAAAGCAAATAAAAGTTAAAAATAATTTCTAGAAATTTTGTTATACAGCAGAGAGGAATTATTAATGAAGTTGAGCATAATGATATAGGCAAAAACTCAATTAACAATTTTTTAAATTTTATTACGCTATTAAAAATATAACGGACTTGAAATCTTATTGCTTTCGCCCTTGGCTTAATTGGATGAAATGCGCGTGCCTTGATGATGACATCTTAGCTTGGTATATTAACTACAATTACGCCGTAGCAGATACAAACGTGATAAATATATTTCTTTTGCATCGATCCTATGTTATATAAATCTGCAATTATTTAAAATATTTATTATCTTCTAGTTTCATCTCCAACATGTTCGAATGTAACAAAATCTGGTTCTAGTGTGAAATGTGGCGAAAATAACCAACACTTTGTCAAAAAGATATTTCGAAAACCCGGCAGCGAAGAACGTAAACTTGAATGTTGTAGCTCGTTATTAGCCTTCAGCAACCATAGCTGGGAGTGCGATAAGACAACAAATAAAATCACGGATCGAAAGTGAGTGTCAAAATACTCTCTCCTCCGCAGAGGTTATTTCAATATTTATTTATTATCTTGAAATCTTATTTAATATTTATTTAATATCTTGAAGTCTTATAATATTACGTTTAACGTGAGGGGTTCTGTAAAAAAGTGACGAAGGCGCGGAAAACGGAAGCAAAGGAGGGAACTTAATTGTTTCAATTTACACACCCAGCTTTTTCAAATACGATATATATAAAGGATTTAAACTTTTAAGTGTGCGTACGCGTGCATGGGAAAAACGCCCTAAGGGCTGCTTTTCGCTGTCGCGTTTTTTTTACCTGCAGAAATCTTTCAAAGCTTCAAAATTTTTATTGTTTAACACGTGCATGGGCAGGGGTGGATGCAGCACTAGTGCACTAATTTGCATGACACAAGAAAACTGCTCAAAATAGCCATTTTGTTTTGTAATTTAAATTAGTGCGATAGTGCTGGATCCACCCGTGTGCATGGGTCAACAGCTGTATACAAAAATAAGCGGAAAACTAATTTCTTAGGATTTATTCACCTAGCTTTTAAAAATATATGATATACGTAATGATTTAGTCTTTTACGCATGTATGTGTGTATGAAAAACGCATAAGTGGAATGCAGTCCATAGGATGTATTGCTCGTGTTACCGATTTGTGATTAAGATGCAACGCAATGATCTGTTTGTATTACCATACAGGAAAAACAAGTGGCTAAATTGCTCTGAAAATACCTATTTACATGGTTTGGCAACCAATGAAAAAAGTGGCGATTGTTGTGGCTCACCAAAAATTGGATATGGATCAAGTTGTCACTATGAAAAAATTACTTTTAAGCACGATAAATATTGTTCAAGTGTTGACGAGTTTATTGTTGGGTTTTATCGCATGGAGAATAAGATTGAAAAATTACGATGCTGTAAAATGGTTTTAAGTGCATGATGGTTCTCAGTAGAAATTAAACATATTCCCAAATATTATTTAAAATACCGGGAAATAGTATTTTAAGTCATAAAGACACAAATTTGTGTTAGTTGAGGGATTCCACAAAATCCTACAAAAATTTTATCAACTCGAGCATGGTAAAATATCTAGTGCATTCTTTTGACATGCTGGCCTAGAATACTAGTTTTATTAATTAAAATGGATGCGGTACATTCGTTAGATTCATTGCTAAAATTCTTGCTGAAAAATTCATTTGCTAATGATTTGCAAATTTAGCTGTCAGGCAATTTTTTTCCAAAAGCGTTTTGTAAACTTTATAAAAAATGAAAAGTGGAAGATGATAAGAAAATTGGTCACAGAACCTTTATTACGAAGAAGAAAGATAACCTTCATGAGTGAGCAGTGAGATAGGAACAGTTTAGCTATAATCTATAAGCTCTGACAAATGTGTTTTAATGAGGTAGGTACCGGTGTTTTGTATTATCCCCGTGCCGATGCGAAGCACCGGGTGAGGGTACTAATTCCGCCCGGAGATTTTAATTACGCCCGGGAATGGAAATGCGATATCGAAGTTGTCCGCCATTATGTCATGGACGTTGAGGACCGTTTTTGTAAGTTATGCGCAGGCATGAGTTTAAGACAAGTTAAAAGCGTGCGATTGGCGAAATTAAAATTTTGGTTCGCGTCAGCATAACTGATATTTTGAATTAAATAACTTTTTAAAAAATATTTTTCATTTGGATGGTTTTAAAAATGTACTAAAAATTCACTCGTAAAATTGATTAAAGCATAAAGTGAAAAATTCTTTCGGATAGAAAAAACTTTAAATCAAGTAAATGGTGAAAAATCTACGATTTTAAAGCATTTTTGGAGTGTTTTTAAACAGGTGAATGGGTAGATTTTGAATTTTAAAAATATTTTGTAAGTTCAACTTGTGAATTTATTAACAAACGTACGAAACCTTTTTGAATTTATTTGTCAATTTTGTTAAAATGATTTTGATTGGGAAAGCATTTATTTTTAAAGGTGAATCTGTTTAAAAAGAAATTGAAATTTCGCTAAAAATTGTAGTACAGTATTTAAAACTATTCGTAGCACAATCAATGAATTATGATTATAGTTGAATGTGATAGCTCGAGAGTCGTTGTAGTAATTGTTGTTCAAGTAATTGTACTTGATATAGGATTTTACTTTGCGACTTCGATCATCCAGCAGAAAACAGTATTATAGAATTTAAGTGATGGAAACATATGTTTATTGCTTCAGGCGAGGGAATTTTGCATGCATGTATTTCTAGTTAATTGGTATAATAGCCCTAAGGATGCAACTTATTGATGTATGCTGATATTGCATGACATTCTAGCTGTTTTGCATTAATACATAAGCGAATATTAGAAGCCTGGTAGGCGCCTAACTTTAAAGAGGTTTTTGATCTTTCCAATTTTTACCAATTAGAATTGGTATATATTGTACATAAATACTTAAAATAATAGCAAGCACGTGATCTTTATAATTGCACGGATCACGTTGTGTTTTGCGTGATTGTCGATCCAAATTCCATATTTGAAATATACAGTATATCAGGGAGAGTGATTTTAGGTTGCTGTTGCGATAGCCGAAGCTGAAGATATAGATGAAGTGCCAGAGCAAGTGTCTTCGCATGAAAACAACGAGCTTATGGCGAGTCTTGCGCTGTTAAACACAAACATGCTGGCTGTAACACAATCATTAAAACAATTTTAGTACAATATATGCCTATGGCAGAACCTGCCAAAAAACGGGCTATGCATGTCCGGCCTTGAAACTTCAAGTGGCGAAAAAAATGTCACATAATCAGATGCAGACAAACTGCTTCACAAGCACCAGCCAAAACAACAAAAAGTCGTTAACAACGACAATAAAATAGCCGACGATGGCGTCATCCTTTGGTTGCTAGATTTTTAAAACGACTCTTTGAACAACGGCCTGCACTCCCAAGATTTCAGTCTACCTGGGCTGTCTCCGACGTCCTGCATTATCTACGAAATATGGGACCCTTTGAGCAGTTAACTCTTAAGAACATAACGTTTCAGGCAGTGATGTTAGTCACATTAGTGAGCTTAAGCAAGTGACGTCTTTGATAACACGTACGTTGACCGGAAGTAAAGTTTTTTTTTTACCAATCACAACCCTTGACCCAGTCTTTTCACGTTGCTCATGCTGTTTGTGTTGTCAAAAACGTCACATGCTTAAGCTCACTAATAATTTCAGGACAGAGATGTCAAGCGTGCATGCATTAACATTGAGCGGAATGGAACAAACGGATGACCAAATCAAATTCAATATTAACGTGAAGACCTCAAAGCCTGGGAAGCATAGTAAGTCCATTAGTTTTCAAGGCATACAGAGCCGAAAAAGAACTGTGTGTATAATGACGTGTGCCTAAAACACTGCATAACAAAAACAAACTCAATTCGTGAAGAGAATGATGAGCTGCATTTGGCTGAGTTTTTGCAAACCACACAAACCCATTAGCAAGAATACTTTTGCTCGATGGGTAAAAACTATGTGAGGGAAAGCAGGAATCGATACAGATCGTTATCGCGCACACAATGCCCGTGCAGCATCAACTTCGGCAGCATGCTCTACACACCTGCCCAATTGATGTCATCATGAAGGCAACGGGATGGTCCAACGAAACAACAGTCTAAAAGTCTGTGGAACAATCTGTTAACTTTGGGGAACATTTAATCGCATTTACTGTTCCCCTAAAAAAAAAAAAGTTTATTTGGTTGCTGTTACTTGTTACTTAGCTGTTCATGAACACTGCTTTAAAATCTCGCGTGACTTCTCGTGAACTAACCAATAACAAAGTAGAATTTAATAATTAAACGAGGCTTGCCTGTAAGGTGAAGTTTGATTGTAATTCTACGAGTCATTGGACAGGAACAGAGAAGTCACATCCCGACCTACGAGGGGCAGCAAAGAAATAATTGTTCTGCTGTGTGTTCATTCGCAGCCCACGCTTTTAAAAACTGAATACTCTGATTTCGCGCGCTCTATCTCATGTGATTTCTCTGTTCGTGACCAATGATTTACGGCATTAGAGTTTCGTATAACAAGCAGTGCTTGCCACACTGATGAGTATATATATATATATATATATATATATATATATAATTATATATATATATATATATATATATATACAGTCGTTATCATTAAGGTTGTCACCTGAAAATATACATATATAAATACGTAACTATATACTCATCACGTGATTAACTGTATAGTTTATGTTAAACTTATGGGAAATCGTTCGACATCTATCTTGAAAATTTCTTAAATGCTACAGTTAGGTGGACCATATTGATATTAATAAAGAACAAGAAAAAAGAACAAAAAAACCCAGTTTAATGGTCAGGTGATGGTATTGAGAGATTCTACCAAACTACGCAAGTGTCCGTCTGCGATGCACATCCAAATGCTTTACTAAATTCGAGAAAGTTGTAGAGTGGAACGCGTACTCTGAAAATATAAGAAGAAGAATAGGTATAGTGTAAGGTTATAATTTATCCTACAGCGTTATTCTTCCAAGTGTATAATTATGCTGACATCAACTGTGTGGTGATGGTAGCCCCTAGCTAATCGCTACACTGTTGCAACTTTGCAAGGTATACTGACTGTCGCAAAATAGCCAACAAAAAATGAGCACGTCTTAATAAATAGGGTGAAATCGAAAAAATTTTTAAAAATTATGCGATTAAAAACAGGTTCAAATCACGCTCTCTCTTTCTGGCTTCTGTTCAACCTAATTTAGCTGTGTTATTTGGAGCATATTTTGCAGGACATTATGCCTGCCAAGTATTCCGATTAAATTTAAGTCAGTATAGTATTCAATCACCTAAAAAGAAGTGTTCATCTTTCATCCATATTCATTAAGTAGGGTTTTTTAAATCTCATATAAGGCAAACTATCTAGCGTAAATCTTATAGAAATTTTAAAAAGGAGAACCTCTTTAGTGATTGTAAGCAACAAATCTGTTGTTTTATCGATTTTCACGCATTATTACAGCGGTTGAAAAAATCTCTAGCCGTTGAATATTACATTCGTACAACCCTGATATAGAGAATATGGGTGTGAGAAAGTGTTCGAAGATTACACTTGGCCGGCATGTAGGATCACAATTTTCTATGCGTGGTTCGGTGAGAAGACGCATTACCTCACTGGATCTAGCGAATGTTCATCATTATCCATGAAATATTTGACGGCTCCTTCTCCATATTTGTCGCACCACGTCTATTGGAGAAGAAATTCGTATTATTCGATTTTATAGCAAAAAGTGGAAAGGCTTAATTTGATATGTGTATCATTGGATAATTTGAACTGTTGAACATATGATTTGTTTACGGAGTTGTGTCTCACAGCTGGTCATTTGCTCATAAAATACCTGTAAAACTTTGTTGTTTCCATGTAACAACTCGAATATTTGCTACAGATTCCCAACAAAATCAAAAATAAATGTTCTGTATGCCGTAAATCACACTGTGTACAATAACAAAGCTTTCTTTAATGGATGAAAACTTTGTCTTTTTTTAAAGATAATACATGGTGCTGTTATGCGTTGGAAAGGGACAATCGTCTCTATAGGTACTTACGCCTGTATTCTAAAAGCTCACTCACACTCAAACTCATTGAGTGGGAGATCTTAATCTTCTCATAACGTTTCAATGGCGGTATTTCCAGCCGAACAGGGGCTTGATTTTCAGTAATTTACCTTTTATCTTTCCATCTATTCAGAAAAAACTTTCTCATTGATCAGCATTAACGAAATTTATATGTCACACTCGATGAGTATGAGTGTGAGTGAGCTTTTTGAATACAGGCGTTAGTACTGAACTGAAAGATGAGGCATGAAGTTCAAGGCTTCACTGCGACTTTACTTTGGCGGTTTTGTAAAGGGATTATAACAAAGATTGTGAAAATCATGAATAATCAATGACTCTAACTTCCAATCATTCCGCAGTATTTTGGTCACATGTATATATTTGTAATTCTGTATAAAGATCTTATGAATTAGGATATTCATAATGGTATAACTAATCTTAATTAGTATTCATAACTTTGTTACACACATGCCGCGTAATATGCCTTAAGCTTAATCTATTCATTTCACAAGCACGTTAAAATACTAGCGGCCCATCTGTATGCATGGGTATTCACTATTCACATTGCATTCAACATCTATTTCAATCTAATTTCTAATAAGCTCATCATCGCCATTTAAGTTTCGAATTTCGAAATGCACTAATTTCGAAATGCACTTCATCAACAAATCAACAAAGGCTGTATTAGGGATAAGTGGGCACACGTTTCGTAGTGTTTTTGTGTATTCGTACCTGGGCAAAGCTAACAAAGAAAAGTTGGTTATTATCCAAAGAGAGAGCTGGTAACCGATCTTCATCGCCATGTGTTTCTCGCCACTTTTGATAGGCCTTAAAGAATATTTCGGATAATTTCGTTCTGCTAAAACTCAAGTAAACTATGGACAATTTACCTCGGAAATCGAGCACGATAAGAAAAGAAGAGGAAAGAAAAGCAGAAATACAGCTTTTCTCTAATATTTTAATTTCAGACTACACGACTACGTACAGCACTGTCCAGAAATAACCTTACACTGCGATTGCGGTTAGGTTGCGGTCGATCGTTGAAACCACAAACAACCGCAAGGGAAAAATACCTTCGCAGTGGCCGTTGTTCGCGCGAACAAAAGAAGGAAGCAATTCTATTTTTTCGCGGCGAATTTTTTCGAAAGGCAATCATATCACTGGGTTTCAGATATCGCGCTTAGCGTCGCACGAAAAAATTCGCCTTGTGGTAAACTGGCTTGACCTCTTCTGTGCAACCAAGATCAGACCGAGTTTTGACCTAGGTTAACCGCAGTTTTTGTCAGGTTATTTCTGGACAGTACTGTGTAAGCACCTCGAGACTAAACAACACTTACTCTGTAGGCATATTTCAGACCTCCGTTATCAGCAATATTTTCTGATAATGTCTGAGTGCCATTGACCTAAAAATGTATATGCACACATCGTTATAAGATACGTTTCTAGAGTTAGTCTAATATGCAGACAAACCTGGTAACCGAATATTGTCACATTGCTGTACTGATCAATTAAACATTTTGATCTTTCCACAAAATTATCATGTGATACTTTAGTCCACCAATGGCGAATGTTTCCATTTTCATCGTACCCACTTCCTGTTGATTATATCAATGTATTTTTAAGCAAAAATTAAATAAATAAATAATTAATGGCAATGCTAGGCACTTTGGGGGCTGTTTACAACATGATCCCGGTTAGCCGGATTTCGCTCAGATTGAATTTTCCAACTAGCAGAACAAGAACTGATGCCAGTTACTTCTTTTTCATTCTTTGTGGCTTTTTTTTACTCTTCTTGTGTCAAAAAGCGAAAAACCTCGCTTGTTTTTGTTTTTTTTAAACTCCCAGAGGTATGAAAGATTATACTTTATGTAAAATATGTATATGACGTAGTTGTGTTGTCATACCCAATTCTCTACAGCGCTATCGGTGCAAAAAAAGCCCGGTTCCAGTGTTTACACAGTACGGAACGAATTTAAATCCGGCGGAGAATTAGGCCTGATTTTTATTGGTCTCAAATTCGTCCTGTTAGGGGGTCTCAAATTCGTCCTGTTAGGGGATCTCAAATTCTGCCGGTTCCGTGGTCCTCGTATAAACAGGCCGAAAATCTCAGCCCGGTTCCTAATTCGTCCGTTAATAAGAACTAATTAAATACCACAAAGCGTCAGAAACAACGAGAAAACATAGCATTTTTGTGACTTATATATATGTCCGCACGTGGCAAATAGAAAGCATGGCTCCGTCACACGTAGACGTGCACAATCATGCAAAATGAAAGTAATTGTTCCTACCATCCTCATCAAAGCCGTGTGAAATTTCATGGCCTACGATGAAACCAAGTGAGCCGTAATTCATTGCTCTGAAATTTACAACAGCAAACACTTTACAAACAGACTTCGCAAACAGAACTTTTATTGCAGCAAACCAGGGGAAAAAGAATAAAATACAGTTTCGTCATTACTTTAGCCTACCACTCTCGTAGAAAGGTGGTTGTAATATTCCCCCCAAAATTACTGCAAGAGAACAATAAAATTTTGTAAGAAAATTACAGAAATGTCTGTACATTATCCTGCTAACCCAAAGTTATGCAATAGCCTACCACGTAATTATCCTGGTTCTAGATCCACATAGTTCTTAGTTGATTCAATTGTATAATACGTCGGGGGGGTGGGGGAAAATTTACGAGGGGTATTGGATATGATCTAGTGAACAATATTTTGGGAGTATTTTGGGTAAATCAACAGCAATACTTAAAGTATAGCCCTTTCGCTCTGAGAATTCGATGAAATACTATCTTATGACTAGTGGTAATGATTATATCCTATAATGCTTTTCAAATTTCATTACATTCCTATCAATTCAGGTCCACAAATGGCATAAATGACCCATACCTATGATACATACCTATGATACATACCTATGATACATACCTATGATACATACCTATGATACATACCTATGATACATACCTATGATACATACCTATGATACATACCTATGATACATACCTATGATACATACCTATGATACATACCTATGATACATACCTATGCGGTTATCTTTAGACAAATAAAACGCATTCACCGGAAGAGTTGACGTTGAAAAGCTGAAGGGAGGAAAAACGGAAAACATTTTGATCAAAGACTAAATTTTTTATCCTTGAAAAAGATAGCTTTATTACCCGGCAAGAAGAGCATTTAAACTACGTTAGTAAAACTTGATCATGAAAATGTGTTTTGTATCACTGACGTAGATAACAAGACGATATACACAAATATTTTCAGTATGTTTGTTTAAGGCAGTGTTACATTACGCAACTTTCCTTGCAACTGGCAATGCAGTTCTACTCCTGCAGGAGATAATTCAAATACAAACATTTCTTACGATGTTAATTAATATTTCGAACACTCTGACTCTTCACAAATTGACATCCCTCAAATTAACATTTTTATACTTTCTGTAAAAAAAACACCTGCTATCGTCCGACGGCTTTCCCAATTGCTGGCTCTTCTTCAGAATTAGATTCCTGACGGCGTTCAACATATTTTGTAAAAGAAATGACTCTTTAACTTGGAACTGCGTAAGAATAGAAATGAAAAAACATCAATCCGCCATCGCTTGTACTGCGGCAAGTTGTGGAAAGTTTTCAAAAATGCAATTACCAGATATTTCAGTCCTTGGAATATATGCATGCATTCTAATAAACAAAATTTCGCTCGTATGAAAGGGGTTTTTTTAACGGAACCATGCCTACAAAAAGATATTTTCTAAGATTTTGATTAAAAACTTACATTTTTGTAATAACTGTGCAGTTCTGTTGTATTTTTAATAAAAGATGAATATCCAATCCATTCTTTCATTTTTTGCAGCTATATTTAAACGTCGTAACGAAAAAATGTTAATCATCGATAGAAATTGTATAATTATGAGAATTAGATGTTATAAAGATAAATGCGAGTTTAACGTAAAGTTACGTAATTGTAGTCAACGTAATTGTAGTCGTGTACCTTAAGGCGAGCCTGTGAACGGGTCGCATCATCCATCCATTTGTGCTCTTCCAAGCCATCAACGAACTCAGCTTTGATCTCAGCAAACATAACTGCTGCCTATGAAGAGGTATTAACATGGAAAACCAAACAGACGTAAAGAAATATAGGTGTAGATAATTGTTATACTTATGTAATAAACACGCTATTCTGATGGGTCATTTTCAAATATTCAAAAAAAATTGGTGTTATCACACATTGTGTCCTGATAACGTTGTGCTCAATAGTTTTCTTGTGTGAATACGCCAAGCTCGTATCTTACGAAAATGCGAAGTTAAAATTTTCTGGCATATTGGTGATAGCTGCATGGATGTAAATTTAAAGCGGAAAGAGTACAGGTAGTGGTAAAAAAAGAAATCTTCGTGAAAAACCGTGAAACTTTATAGGTAAAAAACCTGCGTCAAGACACTATCGCGCCCCTGTTCACCAAAACACTCTATTTGCATTTGCCACATTGGCGAGACTACCGTGATAATTGAGGGGGGGGGTGCATTTGTACGCATACTTATTTTCAAAAGAAATCCGTCAGGCAGAACAGACTATATGAATATTCACCACCACCACCCCTCCAATGGACCACTTGCATAATAGACCAACTTCACATCTAGGTGACAAGCAGGAAATATATCACAACAGCTAAAAAGAACATACCAAAATTAGTAAAATTGCCAAGTTTGGTTGCAAAATGTAAAGTAGTACGGAAGATATAGCCATGCGAAGTTGCCAATTTTGTATACTTTTTTACTACAGCTGGAAGCGTGTAACTAATTTAGTTACACGCGTCCGGCCGTAATACAAAAGTATACAAAATTCGCCAACTTCGCATGGCTATATCTGCGGCACTTTACAATATTTCACAGCAAAACTTGGCAATTTTACTAAGTTTTGTATGCTCTTTTAGGAAATTCCCTTTTTGTCACCTGAATCAAAAGTTGGTCTATTATGCAAGTGGTCCATTATAGCGCTTGTTTCGCCACAGACTGTCACACATTAACTTACCTTTTCCAAGGCGTCTTCTGTCACACGTTTGTTAACATAGAGCAAGGTGGTAGCATGTGTGAAATATTGGTTTGTCAAATCATTACACGCCTTCCATCTAGGAGTTGGGCGCACTCCAAAGGTTGCATAATATTTCTCTCGCGCTTTTCTAAATCCCTTTGGCAGACTGTCGATGAACTTTCGAATAATTCTCCATATTATTTCGTTAGCAAGCAAACTAAAACAAGAGATATGCCGTACTCTTTCAGGGGCGGACTATATCTGCCTTAGAGGTACCCTTTGGTTAGGGGGAGAGGGCGACCGTTACTCCAGTCAACAAAACGGCATCTTACCCATTATATTTTATTTTACAACTTTATAGTTAGCTTTAAAGTTAACTTTTTAACTTTTATTTTATAGTTAGCTATATATATACTAGATATGTTCAATGGAAAATATCGGCCCAAACAACGTTTGAATAACTTCACGTTGTATCCACATCAGTAATTCTTACCTTTTGGGTTGGTCTGCTAGCCAGTCAACGATCTTTTTTAAATTGTTTGGTAGGTATATCATCAGTTTTTGGTCTGGTGCAACTAATTTACCTGTGCCTCTAAGTACTTCCTCAAGATATATTGTCCAATTAAACTAAAACGGTGGGTATAATAACGTAAGAAATTTTGATTCGCTCGAGATCGAGGTATTATAGAACATATTCGTTGTCTATAAATTGACTGTGGCCTGGGTAACGAATTAGTATGCGGTTATTCGATGACGATTGCATGTGCTTTGTATAATAATTATACTGTAGTATAGTAAAGTACAGCTTGGCATAACATAACATGACATAACATAGTATGGTAAGGTATTCTTTCTATTTTCACTAATGAAGGCCTGAGTTTAAGGACCCAAAAGTTCCTTGAAATCAATACTTTGTACTAATCTCGTTTTGTCGGGTTGAACAATGGCATATCAATGCTCAGTCTTTTTTTACAAACGTTGTCCTAATTGGGTCTGTACAAAGAGAACTCGGTTTGTTACCATAACGTACAAACCTCGCACTGGAAAACGAAACGCAGCTGTACCTTGAATGACGTCAGATGATTTAACTCATCTATTGTGAAAAATTTGACATTATTCCTAACGGCATCTGCGTCATCTCCATCCAGGATTTTCCGGATCTGGGAATGAGGCGAAAAAAAATATAAATATTAATATTATTTGAAGATTCGGCTTTTAGGGACATTGTGTACGATTCAGAAAAATGTCATACTTTTAAGAAATTGTCTTCCAATTTAACGATACTTTTCGATGCATTATCAACAATGGAATTAGTTCCAAATAATTTGAATATACTGGAAATATACTTCCCGTAATCTTCAAAGTCATTTGCGGGGATTTTCTGAAAATACAAAATGATTTTTTACGCAATCTTAAAACAAAACATTAACTTTCAAATTCGTAAGAAAAATCCGCATCCCCGGGAAAAACTTGTGTTTCCCAAAAAGGTAAAAAATATGGTTATAAGCCCCTATTGTTTGTTCTTAACTTCCTGTTGTAGTCCGACAAATAGGTATAGTATTTAGGTATCCTTCTTTAGCCTATAGATATTTTTAGCTACGCAATTCGCTACGGTAGAAGGTAACTTCTTCAACAGCGAGCAGAGTTGCACTCACCTTACTAGGTTTGTCGTGTAACGGCAGATCTTTCTCTTTTGAACGAGGTTTTTCTTCGTTTAGTTTATCATCGTCGTAACCAGACAATCCCGAACTTATCTATAGGATAATTGCAATACGATTCATCAGGAAAAAAACAAACCTGTCTCTCGTGTGAACTGAAATAAAAAGCATGCCAGTGTTTCAAAGAAGGATGCGAATTGCATAGAAAGAACCTCTTTGAATGTTATAACAACGGCATTTAATTTTTAAGGATGTTAGTTTGTAAAGAGTGTTCGAAATGCTACGAAAACGTTAGCAGATCATAAGAAATGCTCGTATTTTTCAACATTAGATGCCCGAGGAGTAGAATTGTCTTGCAAGTTAAAAGTAAAGTTGCATGGAAAGTTGCATAGTGTAACACCGCGTTATGTAATATTCAATTAGATTTTAAATGACTCGGGACTAAATCCACATTTGATTACCGAAATAAATATTTCAGACGTGTTGAAAAACGATTTCTCTATATCCACATTGAGAAAAACAGGCAATGAAGTTTCCGCAAAAACCCTTCCAAGTACTTTCGCTAACACCCAAGAGTCGCCACTCCAGTTGCTCTTGATTATGTTACAGGAGCCATATTTTTCTATGACGTCAAAAATTGGTTGAGTCCCAGCAGTTTCAATAGAAGCGTCGCTCATGCAGGATTTGTAGAATGTGAATGCTTTAGAAACAGCTGAATTTGGATCCTGCAACATTTAGAAAATAGAAAATTATCTTCATATATCATATGTCATACGTCTGTAATGTCGTGTCAAAACACGTCACGTCAGATTAACGAGAAGTGAAGGATAAAATATCGCTCTGTACTAAAGAAGTAAAAGGTTCTGCACTCTCTATTTGATCGAACGTACGATTTTCTTCACTTTCGAAAAGTTTGTCGCACGGAATTTGATACCTAAATTTCATCCCCGGCGGGAATTTGGTTACCTAAATTTTTAAAATCGTACATGCAGAGAAGAATCTGGAAACGAACACGACCACAGGGGGCAGAGGAGTTGATTTCTTCATCGTTGTAAAAAATGTCTTCAAATAAAAACAACAAACCAAATAAAATAGGATTAAGGCTCTTTTCCACTCATCGCAAAATCAACTCGCTCGGTTAGAATTTTTTATGAAATTATGTTCATTATTATTTTTAAAGATGATGTAAAGTCCGTTCTGAGCATATATTCTGCGCATAACAATGTTTGTTTACGTTGGTTATATAATCTTTACATGACGTATGCGTCGTTATAATTTTTAGCTCGCCTGCACTTTAGTGCAAGAGAGCTATTGCTATAGTCTTGGCGTCCCCGTCCCCGTCCCCGTCCCCGTCCCCGTCCCCGTCCCGTCCCCGTCCCGTCCCCGTCCCCGTCCCGTCCCCGTCCCCGTCCCCGTCCCCGTCCCCGTCCCCGTCCCCGTCCCCGTCCTCGTCCCCGTCCGCGTCCACACTACATGATAAGTAGAATGTTAACATGCCACTTTTATTTTCCCATTATTTTTAGCTCGCCTGCACTTTAGTGCAAGAGAGCTATTGCTATAGTCTTGGCGTCCGCGTCCCCGTCCCCGTCACTGTCCCCGTCACTGTCCCTGTCCGCGTCCACACTACATGATAAGTAGAATGTTAAGATGCCACTTTTATTTTCCCATTATTTTCAACTTATCTACTTAAGGAGTCTATTTGTTGCAAAAGAACCATTTACCAGGGGGGAGTGAACATTATACAACAAAATATAATGATAAGGTCAATGTTAACATGCTATATTTTTTCTATACTTTGGCTTTACATCAGAGGAATCATTATCAATATAAGTCATCAATATGCATTGTGACTATTTAGTGCCATTTGGTACGCATTTATACAATAATAAAGAGAGTTTTGCTCAAAATTATCAAATGATAAGGTGAATGTTAAGCTAATTAGCATAATGATAAGGTCAATGTTAAGATGTTATATTTTTTAAATATTATGGCTTTGCATTGGAAGATTCTTTATAAATATAGCTCATCGATATGTCTTGTGACTATATGGTGACATTTAGTACACATTTATACAAAAATAATGGGAATTTTGTTCAAAATTATCAAATGATAAGGTGAATGTTAAGCTAATTAGCATAATGATAAGGTCAATGTTAAGATGCTATATTTTTTAAATATTATGGCTTTACATCAGAGGAATCATCCTAAATATAAGTCATCGATATGCATTGTAACTATTCAGTGCCATTTGGTACACATTTATACAATAATAAAGAGAGCTTTGCTCAAAATTATCAAATGATAAGGCAAATGTTAAGCTTATTAGCATCATGATAAGGTCAATGTGAGAGTTATCCAGAGTTATCACGCTCATTACGATTTTCAGGGCTATTGTGTAGCCCTGTCTTTTTTAGTTCAAAGTTGTAGCTGAATCATATTTAACGAAAGTATTTGTACAACCCTAAGCCAAATGAGAAACTTTCAAATATTTTCACCTGTATGCTACCATATGTTTGTATTGTACATGTACAATTATAAATTATGAGATTGTGTTGTGACATGCCGTATCAAAATTCAATCGCTTAATATAGAAATCATTCAGGGAGTGAATATATATAAAACATAGTCCAACGTTAAAGTTTAAAGAATATTGTCAGATAATTCGCAATTACAAGCTTTAGCACATAAGTATTTATAAGTAGAAAGCCGATAGGCTCGGAATGCAAAGGCAAATGGCAACGCATGTGACATATATTTGCATATTATTTATGTAGATACACATGCAAATATATTATTAAAGCCAGTTAAATTGTAGACAGGGCCCTATAAGATTTATGTACATACCTTTTCGTTGTTTGATGCATAATCCTTTTTTGTGTAGGTATAAAAATCCAATCTTGTCTTTTTCATAAAGCTAGGCGCACACACGACGATTTTAGTCGGCCGATTCCTGTCTAGATTGTCTAGATGGATGTTTTCATCAAAATGTGGCGACTGGCAATCTATACTTGGTCAGATTAGACCAAGTAGACTCGCGTACACGCGCGAGGCGCGAGCGCCGCGAGAAGGAAAACATGTCTGGGCAAGGGCTGCCTATATGTCTAAACCTGAATGGACCAACTACCGTAAAATCGTTGTGTGTGCGCCCGGCTTAAAGCAGGGCCTTTTGCCTGGTCCGTTAACTTACCTGTTGATATCACGTGCGCGGATTGTGAGAAACGGAAGAAATATTTGTCACAAATAAAACTAATGTAATTCCGAGGCCAGTTTTGGCCAGTAATTCTGAGGTCACAACTAATATCTGAAGTTTGTGCTTAATATTACCTTCCAAAGCGGATTTTAGCCTTGTAGTTTCTAATAAAAAGATCGGTAATTTGTGCTTCATACAGATACCTTTCATACATTCCTTATTCTAGACAAACAGTGCAGGCGAGCGTTAGGTGGTTTCAGCACCTCTCTGGTCAACTTATCTACTTAAGGAGTCTATTTGTTGCAAAAGAACCATTTACCAGGGGGGAGTGAACATTATACAACAAAATATAATGATAAGGTCAATGTTAAAATGCTATATTTTTTCTATACTTTGGCTTTACATCAGAGGAATCATTATCAATATAAGTCATCAATATGCATTGTGACTATTTATTGCCATTTGGTACACATATATACAATAATAAAGAGAGTTTTGCTCAAAATTATCAAATGATAAGGTGAATGTTAAGCTAATTAGCATAATGATAAGGTCAATGTTAAGATGTTATATTTTTAAATATTTTGGCTTTGCATCAGAAGATTCATCATAAATATAGCTCATCAATATGTCTTTTGACTATATGGTGACATTTAGTACACATTTACACAAAAATAATGGGAATTTTGTTCAAAATTATCAAATGATAAGGTGAATGTTAAGCTAATTAGCATAATGATAAGGTCAATGTTAAGATGCTATATTTTTTAAATATTATGGTTTTACATATCACAGGAATCATCATAAATATAAGTCATCGATATGCATTGTGACTATTCAGTGCCATTTGGTACACATTTATACAATAATAAAGAGAGCTTTGCTCAAAATTATCAAATGATAAGGCAAATGTTAAACTTATTAGCATCATGATAAGGTCAATGTTAGAGTTATCCAGAGTTATCACGCTCATTACGATTTTCAGGGCTATTGTGTAGCCCTGTTTTTTTTAGTTCAAAGTTGTAGCTGAATCATATTTAACGAAACTATTTGTACAACCCTAAGCCAAATGAAAAACTTTCAAACATTTTCACCTGTATGCTACCATTTGTTTGTATTGTACATGTACAATTATAAATTATGAGATTGTGTTGTGACATGCCGTATCAAAATTCAATCGCTTATTAAATGACTTAAATATAGAAATCATTCAGGGAGTGAAAATATATAAAACATAGTCCAACGTTAAAGTTTAAAGAATATTGTCAGATAATTCGCAATTACAAGCTTTAGCACATAAGTATTTATAAGTAGAAAGCCGATAGGCTCGGAATGCAAAGGCAAATGGCAACGCATGTGACATATATTTGCATATTATTTATGTAGATACACAAGCAAATATATTATTAAAGCACCTATAAGATTTATGTACATACCATTTCGTTGTTTGATGCATAATCCTTTTTTGTGTAGATATAAAAATTCAATCTTGTTTATTTCATAAAGCTAGGCGCACACACAACGATTTTAGTCGGCCGATTCCTGTCTAGATTGTCTAGATGGATGTTTTCATTAAAATGTGGCGACTGGCAATCTATACTTGGTCAGATTAGACCAAGTAGACTCGCGTACACGCGCGAGGCGCGAGCGCCGCGAGAAGGAAAACATGTCTGGGCAAGGGCTGCCTATATGTCTAAACCTGAATGGACCAACTACCGTAAAATCGTTGTGTGTGCGCCCGGCTTAAAGCAGGGACTTTTGCCTGGTCCGTTAACTTACCTGTTGATATCACGTGCGCGGATTGCGAGAAACGGAAGAAATATTGGTCACAAATAAAACTAATGTAATTCCGAGGCCAGTTTTGGCCAGTAATTCTGAGGTCACAACTAATATCTGAAGTTTGTGCTTAATATTACCTTCCAACGCGGATTTTAGCCTTGTAATTTGTAATAAAAAGATCGGTAATTTGTGCTTCATACAGATACCTTTCATACAGAGTTTAGCCTTATTCTAGACAAACAGTGCAGGCGAGCGTTAGGTGATTTCAGCACCTCTCTGGTCTTATTTTCTTCTCGCTCGACCGGCTGTGATCTGTGACGAATATGCTTATTTTATATTATATTTTGAAGAAAATATTGTTATATTTTGAAGAAAATAGAAAGCGAAGCTTGTAAATAAACCGGCCGTTATTTAAAACGATATATATTTGTAATTGTAGGACAAGCGAGAAGGTAGCGTCTTTAGCGACAACAAATAGACATAGCCTCGCCATTTCGGGCCTCATTCAACAAAAAAATTCTTGGAGCATTCCTTTCAGCATATTATTGCTTTTTTCTAGCAGCCTTATGATAAGATAAGTTATCGTCGTGACTCGCAATTCGAGCCTCTTCGCCTTGCGACATAAAATAAAATAATTGTGCTCCCGAACTGCGTTTGTAATACAACGCGCTAATATCGCATATCATTAACATTCCAAAAGTTGCTCTCCCACTGATGGAATGTGTTGATGCGCGGAATATATGCGCAGAACGGACTTTACCTCATCTTTAAACACCTTGAAATTTATACTACAACAACTAGTCGCCCCAGGCTCGATGAACAAGCCTGTATTCACTTCACCTTTAGGCTACTTCACCTTCGGCTCAGTGAATATTTATCACTTATAGACCTAAGTGATGATATTTCCCGAGCGCTCTACAAATGATATATTATACCGAAAAAAATATTGTGCTTTATTATTCTCGCGTGGCAACAATGCGTTTTTCCGCGAAATGACATTCACCGGTGAATATGAAAAAATCCGTCGCTGCAGCGAATACGGATGACGTAAGAGTGATATAGTGAAAAATTTCATGATCAAGTTGCAGAAGTCTACGTTTCTCATTGGACAATTTTAATTTGAGGTATAGTATTGGGCTACTGGCTTGTAATCATGCACCTCGCCGTCAGCAACTGTTTAAAAATAAAAACACGCTTCTCGACCAATCAGCACGCGCGTACTATAATGCTATATTGTAATTTATGTTGTGAAATTATTTTAATAATTTGAAATTGAAAACATTTGGATTATAAATCATTAAGTATTTACGATGCAAAGCTACAAAAATCCTAATTTACTTGGGTTTGTTGTTTTGATTTAAGGACATTTTTATTATACAACGATGAAAGATTTTTAAAATGGTGGGATTCGAAATACGACCTCCAAATTTCAAGACAGGTTTACTTTCAACGCAGGTAACAGTAAATATAAATGCTTTGATGCATAAAATTTCGATTTTCATTGCTCGCGCTGCATATTTAAAATAGTTTGGCTCGTTTTGTATATGATTTTCTTTGTTTCTATTAAAATATTACTAATAAGTTCACTAAAACATGGCAAACAAGCGGGCAGCATTGAGCTGTACTATTATAATTCCCAGGGTAAGTGCCATGAAGTGTAGCCAAAAACATGGTTCTCGATTTTGAGGTTTGCTAAGGCCACATGGTCCCCTTTGCAGGCTGATTGCTCATAGTTAAAAACAAATGTCAATGGTGTAAACTGACACCCTGCTGGTTTATAATACGGGTAAAAATAATATTGTTGTTTCCTGAATATTGTTTACGTTTTTGAAATGTAAACTAAATAGGATTAATGCTGTTAGAATTTAGGAAACATATTTTAATGGTATTAGGCAGTTCCTTCCAAATATCAAATTGGGTTACTTAAGACTAAATTATGCTGCACGTAACATTTTCCCCTTTGTTAGTAATTGTTGCTGGTTGGTAAACATGACTAGCTGAGGTGTTTATGCATGCACATCTGGCTATTTAAAGACCTTGTTTTAAGCAGGGCACCAGCACGGCCCACAGCACCTTTTACATAGTTTAACTGACTTCCCAGTTCCCTAATGCAATGCATTTTGTAGTGTATTCTAATTTGTACTGCAAAATTTACATCCATATCATTATAAGCAGGTCTGGTCTAAAATATGATGAAATAGAGCAAGATATGCCATGTTATGCATAATCATAGAATAAGCACAAACTGCATTGAAATGAACTGAATATTATTTCATATTAGCTACTCAGTTTTATTAGAAAATTAATAAAACAAACTAAGCTGTCTATCTTTATTTTGCAACTGAACCTTCTTTGCTTTTACTTCTTAATTTGCAAACTCCTAAAAGTGGTCTATAATTATTTGCCTAATCTAGGTGTTGAGTAATTGCCCCTTATACAGAGCATGCAAGCAGGGTTCAACTGTTCTCTCCTAACAGAATCATAGTATCACAGGTGTAAATTAAAAGAAATTATTGTGGCTGGCACTTATTGTGACATTCTAATGTTTACTTTTAGCAATTTCTGAATATATAAATAGGAAAGCATCAGTAACTTTCCTTCAAAAGACACACTTACTAGCATTATTCTGCATAAGGTGAATGACCAGGGGTGTAGTCATATAATCAGTGCGGAAAAGTCTTCTTAGTGAATTAAGGAAGTTCGCATGTAATTTTAAAGTTACAATATATGATAAAGATACCAGCATAAACTCTTATGCATTTTGTACAAAGTCCTTTTGTTTTATGAAAAAAAATTGGTATGCAAGATGGAAATTTCGTACTAGAACTAAATTCTCCACAATCTATCTGAAGTTAGAATATTCAAAAAAACTAATTTTAGCATTGAATAATTATTGCGGGTGTCACACACCCCTTCCCCTCCTCACAAACCCTTCCGCTTGTTCGCCACGCCCCCGGCGCTGCGCTCACTCGTTTTTTTTTGCAATTCTTCACGAGCAATCAAGAGTGTCATTTTTGCCAGCTAAAATAAAATACTTATTACCCCAGAGTAATTTGACATCAATTGGTTGTTTTGGAAGATATCCCTCAAGGTGTATTGAATAGCGTCACCTGGTTCAGTAAATGAATCAAAGGACGATTGGCCGTCCGGTATATAACTCTTTTCTAAAAATCCTCCACAGCTGTACTGATAAAAATCATCACATGGCTCGGTGGATTGATCAAGTTTGCTGAGAATGTCTGAAAGGCAAATTACACAGTCTTTATAAAAGCAGGGACGTCACTAAATTGGATTCTAAAGAGGTAGGGTTTGTTTATTGTTTACACTATCTCACGAGTAACGAATGTCCGCTATTTATTCGCTCGAAATTGAAATATATATCTTTATTATACAAGTTTTTATATAAACAAAATTAAATCGTTTAGAATCCAAATTGATATTTTGTTATTAATTTTCTGGTGAAAAACCTAGAAAAGTAAATATTGTACTAGAAAAGTACTGCCGACTGAACAAGAGGGAATTTCGTTTCCGACCTATCAGCGAGTTTTACATTTTCAGTTACCCAATCAGAGCTCAGAATGCATATTTTTTTACTACTTGCACGCGGTAAAAATGTACATTATTAACAGTTTACATGAAGTATTAAAAATTTAGACATTCTGATTAGCTTTGCCTGAAAAATGTAAACAAATATGCCGATTCGTTAAAAACGAAATTTCCTTTTGTTCCTATACGCTGTTTTCCTGCTTTTCAGATTCGTATAGCATATATTATAGAAACAGGCATCAAAATAACATAATTCCCCCTAAAAAAATATGAAATATAATACCCGCTCGCGTCCATGAAGTTTAAACATGGAGATTAACGGAAAGCCAAAAAAAAATTTCACACAAGATATACAATAATAATTTAATACTAAAAGTCATGGAAAGGTCGCCGCACTTGGAAATTCCAACCGTGTTTATGTCAACAAACGTTGACGAATTTTTGCATCAAATTTAAAATAGTTCGTTGTATGGCAAATTTCCTTCCGCGCATGATTGCGTGATGGGTCTTTCATGCACCGAGGGTGCTGCGATACTTTCCCAGAGCTGTAAAAGCGGCTTTAAAAGCGGGGAAATTAGCGAGCCGTGGGTTTGTGTATCCTCCCGATTTCCAATCCAAAAGTCGAGAATATCCTCGTTATCCTGCATGCGGACAGAACTATTTGGCATCGATGTTTTATATCATTACTTCAAAGAAAGTTATAATAAATTTCGGCGTGAAACGATAATAATAATAAGTGATAATTAATACGGTGTACGTGTCATTCTAGTTATTTCATGAAGGCGCTGTTATACTGGGCAATTTTTCGTGCAACTGGCAATGCAGTTCTACGCTTGAAACATCTAATGGCAAATGCCATGATTATATTTTGCTGACTGCGTCTCTTAAAACTACAATTAATTTCCAAGTTGCAAGGGAATAGTGTATACTGGCGCCTTAAAACAACCATATCGCTATATTTTTGTTTATTTTGGGTAAAGTAAGTTTTCAAATACTTGCACTGAGTCTGCGAGATCCCATTAGAACGCACTTGAAATACTACGATATGGATGGTATACCACAAGTTGCCATGCAACCCGAGTTGAATTTCGCGTCTGAAATCGATTTCTGGCGGCACCTTTTACATTTTAAACATTTTGAAGAGATAGGGTACAAAAAAAGCAAAGAAAAAAATTACAAAAACATGTGGTTGCTATGGCTCCGTAACTTGAGATAAATTCGTCTTAGCGCTTTAGCGTAGTTCAAGTGCAGTACTAAAACTTTCTACTGACTAATATAATTTATATCATATTTTCAAGCCTTATTATCTTTTCGTGGCACTTCAATATTTTTTATCGCAAATACTCGCAGATTTATTCAATATTGATTTCCCCAGCGATATATGGCGTATATATAATCGCTTACACCTTGTGCTTTCTCAAGTCAAGTGCATTTGCTAGCTGTATCTATGCATTAAATTCAACAAGTTTATTCCATCCATGTGCATATGTGTGTGGTAAATTATTTAAAACTTTTAGCATTTTTAACAGGTATATAACTTTCTAAGGCTGGACGTTCACTTTCAGACTATAGATATAATTCGCTTGCAAAATATTGCATGTCATCTTCTGAATTTAAAGAAGCTTTAATGATTCACTGTTGCAATATCGAAATTCAATCATATTATTATCATTGAAATAGGCTACATTTTCGCTGTGCAAATATACATCTCAGCGAAGCCTTAGACTGAAATCCGCGCAAATGCTTTATCACCAGAAATTATATAATTACCTCCAGCACTGATGGCACAAGCAGGGGTATTGCAAGTTTTCGTAGAAGTGGTTGACTGCCTTTCCTTTGATGAGCTGCCCTTGCTGTTGGATTTTATCCTCTCCACAGCGTACAGCGAAATAAATACCACCAATAAAATGAGTACCAGCAGAAACAACGCGGCCAAAAGCAAGCGCGCTTTTGAAGGTTTCCGCGTTTCGGGTTCTTCGAATAAACCCAAGGAAACTGAATACGGCATGTTTCCGCTACGAGACAACCAGAGACACAAAATCTAGAAGTCTAGATCACACGTTTGATAACAGAAAGATAATCTCTTTTCGATGGACAGGTGTCGATGTTACCGCGTAGACATCACAGATGCAATATCAAGAGCCCTCAAAAAACAATTCCTCTTGACTCTTGTCGTGTTTGAGAGTGCTTTACAAATGGCGTCAGATTTCTTAGTTCCAAACACCGTCCATAATGCCTAGTTTATAAGTTGCTTTTTGGTTGCGAATGCAATTATAGAACAATACTACTTAATGAGATGAATAATATCGTAACAGGGTTAATAAGGATTATCTATGGTTTACATTGCATCCAGAACAAAATGCGATGTTAGGTAATCGCTTGGCCAACTCACTGGGCGGCTGCTGATCGCGCCAACAATAACAATAAACAGCCTGCCGTTGAGGATTTATATTTGCGTAAAAAATGGCAGCAAAATAACCCTTAGGTATCCTTCCCGTCTAAACGCAGTTCAGTTCAAGACGCCGCCTTTGTCCACACAGATGATTTTTGTGTACGAATAGTACATTATTTGCTATTTTACATGAAGTATTAAAAAAAACTTTGGGCATTCCGATTGGCTTGATGTAATAAATTGCCGATCAGTTTTAAACGAAAGTAATTCCTGCTTGTCCATGTGTCACTATCTGTTGCAGATATATTGCATTGAACTTAGTTCACCTTAATTGAATTTTTTAAAATCTTTAGCCTTTTTTTAAATTAAACCAAATCTAACGAAACTTGCAGGGAACAGATCTTTTGTGTGCTTTGTTAACTTGGTTATTTCCGTAATCAACATTTTAACGGATTTAAACTTTTTCTTTAGCATGGCAGCTCGTCTTAAGGTTTGTTCACGCGATGCAATATTGTCAGTAACAACTAATGAAATGAGATATGAAATATTGTCTGACTGCATGCATTGGCTTATTTGATATCTCTCCGGATTAAATGAAGGTCAATGGGAAATAAAACATACAACAGCAGTGAATTCGTTCTGACGAAAATAGAACGTGTGTACAATCAATGCATGTGTCAATGCAGCTTAGAAAAAACCCAATCTGATTGTGAATTGACGTAAGGTAGTGGTAAAGGTTATATATTTACCCACAACTTTGCGCGGATTTGCGATTATTCCCGAAGATATATAAATTATAAGCTTACTGTTGTTTTTCCTTGCATGCGGATCGGTGATAGACTTAGTACACTATGTTTAGATACGTTCCTTTACATACGGACTTGAATTCCTTTTTAAGAATTCAAACCTTTCTTTATAATTGAAACAGAAAAATATATACCTAGATGTCATTCAAATTATCGTCTTATTTTTATTTCCTATTTCAATGTTAGTTAACTGTAGAATATCCCTCACCAAACCTCAGTGGTCTCTATATATAGTCAGACCTTCCTCACGGACGGTACCCGGTTGAATTCACCGGCATGCATGCATGTCGCTCTATCCTACTGTAAGTAGGATGGTAAAGGTAAATAATACGCAAATAATATATATATCAATTGTACGCAAATAATATGTATCAATTTGTTCTAAAGTGTTAAAAAGTTGCTATATATCACTTCAAAAAAACTTATTTCGAAAACCGTTATGCGAGAAACGATTTAAAAGTCAAAATTGACAGATTCAAACATTCCTTAAATGACTGAAGTAAGATCTAGTGCACTAAATCTATAGTGGCAAACAAAATTTTCGACAGTTAACTGATTATTTTTTAATTATAAAATAATTGATTATTTTTAAAATTAATAAATTCTCATTGTCTTCATTTTAAAAGGAATTTGTAGCTAAGTGAAACAAAACCACCATACCATGACATGAGTATAGCCGAAATTGAAAAGAATACTACCAAACTTCGCAGGTGTTTCTCTGCAATGGGCATCCGAATGCTTTACTGAATTCGGGAGAGTTGTGAATTGCCACGCGTACTCTGTAATTGAAGAAGACAAATAATATTGATAAAATGAATCCAGTGGTGTGCATCATAAAATATCTGTCTGGCCTTCGAAAAAATCGACCGCTGCAATCATTTCATCGTTGTCTGATATCTGACAGAATTATTTTTACCGACGTTTTCTTGCAATCGCCGCAGTATATATTATGCATCTCAACTCTGAATGTCAGGCAATCTTTTGCAAATTTAACAAAGAATATGCAAGGATATAGGGTCTATAAATCCAGGTAATTAAGTTAAAATTCCACCCCTCTCCTTCCTTTCCTAAACTAAATTTTGCTGCGGTGGGTGTAACACACATTGCATTGTACCCCATTGGGATTTACAACGGGGCAAAGAGCGGGGGGGAGGTAACGCGAACGTGTATTGCGCATGAAAAACAATAGAATAGTGTTGTACGGCTATAGAAAGAAAGTGAAAATAAAACAGTTACACGCCGAACCCGTATAAAGTTATAGTATATAACACATATATATTCTGGCCATATATCCATCCATCAAATGTTAACTCATTACAGTTATTCCATTACTGAGCAATGCGATTGTGATGACTGATAATTTAATTATTATATACCACTTGTCAAAGTTTTGTTTTCGTAGCGTTTCATTGGTCAAGAGCAAATCACGCGAGAGTGACGAAATTTTGATGTCCGCCAGCGCGACCCCCTGCAGAGTGAGATAATGGGTTATCTCATGGGAAATAACAACTTTAATCGTGCGACCTTTAGACTGTTTATCCATTTGAAATTATGTCTTTTATGAATAGATATTTCGTTGTTTACCTTGTAGTTTGGTTTTTCTTTGACAAGTGGTATATAATAAAAAACTTATTTACTGAGAACTCAGAAAACATTATGTTTCGTGGACCCTCGACCATCGATATTTCACTCGGCTTCGCCTCGTAAAATATCGACAGGTCTCGGATTCACAGAACATAATGTTTCCTTCGTTCCCAGTAAATGAGTGCTAACTATGTGTGGTTGGAACTTGAATGATAAGTCGTTCACTATAAACTGAGATATGTAGCTAAATGAGGGCTGCTTTTCACTATCGCGTTTTTGTACGTAGGCGTATACGCATAGAAAAGCTTAAAACCTTCTAAGTTGTTGTATAATTTATTTTATCCCAGAAAAACACACCATGCACACGTGTCTATTCAATCGTTGATTTCATAATTATGTAGTGTTTAAATGATTTTAGACTTTTACGGGCGTATATACGTGCGTAAAAAAAATGCGACCGTCGAAGGGCACTCAGTTTATAGATGCTCGAAATGCAGCTGATTTATTCACGTATGTTTTAACCCGTGCCCTTTACCTTACTGGTTCCGGCGAATGTTTACCATGCTTTATACGATATTTGGCGCCTCTTTTTTTATACTTCTGACACCAAGTCTATAGGACAAAAAGATATGACAATGTTCCTAAGATTTTTGCAAACACTGATCGTTGTAGAAGTTTTATTATACCTTTAAATATTATTAGTTAGTTGTTATATATGGTATTAATTGTAGTTATTTTTACCATGTAATTCAGTTTTTACTGCCAAACCAATTATTATTGTTATTATTATTACTAAAAATTTTCACTTTTCAGTTTAAAGTTTACGTTTACATAAAGGTTTTGTATAAGAACATGATAATTTCATATTGCATATGTTATATTTGTACCTGGGCAAAGCTAACAAAAAAAAGTTGGTTATTATCCAAAGAAAGAGCTGGTAGCCTGTCTTCATCTCCATGCGTTTCCCTCCATTTTTGATATGCCTAAGAAACAATATTTCGGGTAAATCTTTTTAGCTAAAACCTAACCAGAGTGACAGACAATTTGTGAGTGATACCATCACGCAGTGGAAATTTAAAAAAAAAGAGAGAAAAGCATGTTTTCTCTCGTGAAATTTTAATTTCTGACTACACAATGCGCAATATCCACGTGGCTAAACCCACGCAGTCAGCCAGTTATTTTGTTACATCCAACGTACTCTGTAGGCATATTTCAACCCTGCGTTATCGCAAATATTTTCTGATAAGGTCTGCTCGCCGTTAACCTAAAAATAGAGTATTCGATATAGAATTAACACGTTCATATCTATCGTTCTAATATTTTGTCTAGTAATTATGCAATGCGGAGTAATAGATCGAATTTTTTAAAAGCACAGGACTTCTTTACAAACCTTATAGCCAAATATTGTAACATTGTTGTACTGTTCGATAAAGCATTTTGATAATTTCGTAAAGTTGTCGTTTGATGCCTTAGTCAACCATTCGCGTATTTTTCCATATTCATCGAAGTAAATACCTTTAATTACATCAGTGAGAATAAATTCGTAAACAAAACCTGAATCGATATAATTAATAGCCAATTAAGCTATATATATAGGCAGTAGAAAGTCGTTATTGGTTTTAACAAGAATATAAAATCCTCCATCTGACAACGCGCTTCTTTAGTATATCGCAGTAGCGTAGCCAGAACGATAATGGGGGGGGGGGGGGTCATAATCATATATTCGTGCTACGCAGGAATAATAATTACTCGGCGTCAGCGACGGAGTTAAAAATTAACCTCGGTTTTGTTTTGTTTGTTTTTTTGTTTTTGTTTTTTTTATTTTTTTTATATTATTTTTCGTCGTCGCAAGTCTGTAATGGCGCGAAATATACTAGTATTTGAAATGTGTTTGTGATGGGATTTATCTACGTCCCAGTCTTGTCTCCCAAGAGTTGTGGTGCACAGCTTTGGCTAATTTTCCGATGCGCGATTCGATTTCGCTTGATGATACGGCAATTCCTCCAAGAGGAACAAATAAACCGTTCTTTTTGGATCAACAGCTTCTCGAGGCATGATGAACATGTGAGCAGGCTTGACATGAACTTTGACCATGACGTCATATAGGGCATGTATTAACATTTAACACCAGCACATAATTAGTGAGATAGGAAAATAAAGCAAGAGAGACGGAAAATGTCTAAATGTATGTATGTATGCGATTAATGTGAAGTATCTGTTTGAGAGACTACGACAAGCTAACCTGCGCCATTATTAAGTATATGCTTAAAGGACCTCGCCACAGAAGTAAGCTATTCAATTTATATTGTTGTTTATGTAATATTATTAGGGGTAATTTAGATCACACGTGCGAACTTGATCGGAACTATATATGCATGTTTTTATTAATATTCTTTGTATTAATTTGTTCTTATTCTAGATCGAATTGTTTAATATAATTTATAATACGATTTGCGAGTTCCTTGGACATGTGCTTAATCTAAAATTGTGCTAACCGGTCGTCTTGGTTCCGACGAAACACTTTTGATACTGTTCGATTAAGTTTAGATTAAATTGGGGTAAGAATATATTTAATACATGTAGATTCTGGTCCTATTTTAATAATTTCGCTGCTATTTCGCCGTTTAACAAGATGTGGCCGTGTACATGGACGCGTTGACACGTCGCAGTTTGCACAGGATTATATTGAAAATTTATTATAACTATATAAGCACGAATTCCAAAGGCAAAGTGTAAAGCCCTAATTCCACGCGCTAAATTTTCAAACGAAATGCGAAATATTTCTCCTGCTTCTTTTGAATTGTGAGCAATGATGCAGAATTGATTTATTCAAGCGGTCGAAATTCAAAAGAAACAGGCGAAATATTTCGCATTTCGCCGAGAAAAGGCGCCCGTGGAATTTGGCCCTAAGACAAAGTGAATGTATCATGCGGTTTATTTACATTTTTGAACACATGAACTTCTATACTTTTAAAGTACGATGTGCTTCTGAATTTCGCGATCAAACAACATTTAGGTTTCGCAAGGCATCTAAATGAATATGAACTGTATTAATTATGTTCAGAAGCTGTATGTTGAAGACTGGCACGTGCGCGCCACGCCGAAGTTAACGCCAGAACAGGCGTCTTGTATTCTTTAATGTTTGTATATGAGCGCCAAACATGCTGGAAACTTTACATTGGACAAGCATTTGACCATTAAAACAGCGTGGTTATCCATGTCAAAATATTTCACATCATAACCAAACCATGGTTATATTGTTTAATGTTTGTATATGAGCGCCAAACATGCTGGAAACTTTACATAGGACAAGCATTTGACCATTAAAACAGCATGGTTATCCATTTCAAAAAAATTTACATTATAACCAAAGCATGGTTATATTGTTTAATGTTTGTTATGAACGCCAAACATGCTGGAAACCTTACATAGGACAAGCATTTGACCATTAAAACAGCGTGGTTATCCATTTCAAAATATTTGACATCATAACCAAAGCAAGGTTGTATTGTTTAATGTTTTTATATGAGCGCCAAACATACTGGAAACTTTACATTGGACAAGCATTTGACCATTAAAACAGCGTGGTTATCCATTTCAAAATATTTGACATCATAACCAAAGCATGCTTATATTGTTTAATGTTTGTACATGAGCGCCAAACATGCTGGAAACTTTACATAGGACAAGCATTTGACCATTAAAACAGCATGGTTATCCATTTCAGAAAAATTTACATTATAACCAAAGCATGGTTATATTGTTTAATGTTTGTTATGAACGCCAAATATACTGGAAACCTTACATAGGACAAACATTTGACCATTAAAACAGCGTGGTTATCCATTTCAAAATATTTGACATCATAACCAAAGCATGGTTATATTAATTAATGTTTGTATATGAGCACCAAACATGTTGGAAACCTTATATAAGACAAGCATTTGACCATTAAAACAGCGTGGTTATCCATTTCAAAATATTTGACATCATAACGAAAGCATAGTTATATTGTTTAATGTTTGTATATGAGCGCCAAACATGTTGGAAACTTTACATTGGACAAGCATTTGACCATTAAAACAGCGTGGTTATCCATTTCAAAATATTTGACATCATAACCAAAGCATGGTTATATTAATTAATGTTTGTATATGAGCACCAAACATGTTGGAAACCTTATATAAGACAAGCATTTGACCATTAAAACAGCGTGGTTATCCATTTCAAAATATTTGACATCATAACCAAAGCATGGTTATATTGTTTAATGTTTGTATATGAGCGCCAAACTTGCTGGAAACCTTACATAGGACAAGCATTTGACCATTAAAACAGCGTGGTTATCCATTTCAAAATATTTGACATCATAACCAAAGCGTGGTTATATTGTTTAATGTTTGTATATGAGCACTAAACATGCTGGAAACTTTACATTGGATAAGCGTTTGACCATTAAAACAGCGTGGTTATCCATGTCAAAATATTTGACATCATAACCAAAGCATGGCTATATTGTTTAATGTTTCTATTTGAGCGCCAAACATGCTGGAAACTTTACATTGGACAAGCATTTGACCATTAAAACAGCGTGGTTATCCATTTCAAAATATTTGACATCATAACCAAAGCATGGTTATATTGTTTAATGTTTGTATATGAGCGCCAAACATCCTGGAAACTTTACATTGGACAAGCATTTGACCATTAAACAATATACCCATGCTTTGGTTATGATGTCAAATATTTTGAAACGGATAACCACGCTGTTTTAATATGAGCGCCAAACATGCTGGATACTTTACGTTGGACAAGCATTTTACCATTAAAAAAGGCGTGGTTATCCATTTCAAAATATTTGACATCATAACCAAAGCATGCTTATATTGTTTAATGTTTTTATATGAGCGCCAAACATCCTGGAAACTTTACATTGGACAAGCATTTGACCAATAAAGCAGCGTGGTTATCCATTTCAAAATATTTGACATCATAACCAAAGCATGCTTATATTGTTTAATGTTTGTATCTGAGCGCCAAACATGCTGGAAATTTTATATTGGACAAGCATTTGACCATTAAAACAGCGTGGTTATCCATTTCAAAATATTTGACATCATAACCAAAGCATGGTTATATTGTTTAATGTTTGTATATGAGCGCGAAACATCCTTGAAACTTTACATTGGACAAGCATTTGACCGTTAAAACAGCGTGGTTATCCATTTCAAAATATTTGACATCATAACCAAAGCATGGTTATATTGTTTAATGTTTGTATATGAGCGTCAAACATGCTGGAAACTTTACATTGGACAAGCATTTGACCAATAAAACAGCGTGGTTATCCATTTCAAAATATTTGACATGATAACCAAAGCATGGTTATATTGTTTAATGTTTGTATATGAGCGCCAAACATGCTGGAAACTTTACATAGGACAAGCATTTGACCATTAAAACAGCGTGGTTATCCATTTCAAAAAAATTTACATTATAACTAAAGCATGGTTATATTGTTTATTGGTTGTTATGAACGCCAAACATGCTGGAAACCTTACATAGGACAAGCATTTGACCATTAAAACAGCGTGGTTATCTATTTCAAAATATTTGAAATCATAATCAAAGCATGGTTATATTGTTTAATGTTTGTATATGAGCACCAAACATGCTGGAAACTTTACATTGGACAAGCATTTGACCATTAAAACAGCGTGGTTATCCATGTCAAAATATTTGACATCATAACCAAAGCATGGTTATGTTGTTTAATGTTTGTTATGAGCGCCAAACATGCTGGAAACTATACATTGGACAAGCATTTGACCATTAAAACAGCGTGGTTATCCATTTCAAAATATTTGACATCATAACCAAAGCATGGTTATATTGTTTAGTGTTTGTATATGAGCGCCAAACATGCTGGAAACTTTACATTGGACAGGCATTTGACCATTAAAACAGCGGGCCGGGTTATCCATTTTAAAATATTTGACATCATAACCAAAGCATGCATGGTTATTACTCCGGCGTCAGCGACGGAGTTGAAAATTCGGCTTGGTTTTTTTTTTGGTTTTTTATTTTTTATAATTTTTCGTCGTCGCAAGTCTGTAATCGCGCGAAATATACTAGTATTTGAAATGTGTTTGTGATGGGATTTATCTATGTCCCAGTCTTGTCTCCCAAGAGTTGTGGTGCACAGCTTAGGCTAATTTTCCGATGCGCGATTCGATTTCGCTCGCATGATACGGCAATTCCTCCAAGAGGAACAAATAAACCGTTCTTTTGATACTGTTCGATTAAGTTTAGATTGAATTGGGGTAAGAATATTTTTAATACATGTAGATTCTGGTCCTATTTTAATAATATCGCTGCTATTTCGCCGTTTAACAAGATGTGGCCGTGTATGGACGCGTGGACACGTCGCAGTTTGCACAGGATTATATTGAAAATTTAATATAACTACATAAGCACGAGAGTGTAAAGCCCTAATTCCACGGGCTAAATTTTCAAACGAAATGCGAAATATTTCTCCTGCTTCTTTTGAATTGTGAGCAATGATGCAGAATTAATTTATTCAAGCGGTCGAAATTCAAAAGAAGCAGGCGAAATATTTCGCATTTCGCTGAGAAAAGGCGCCCGTGGAATTAGGCCCTAAGACAAAGTGAATGTATCATGCGGTTTATTTACATTTTTGAACAATTGAACTTCTATACTTTTTAAAGTACGATGTGCTTCTGAATTTCGCGATCAAACAACATTTAGATTTAGGTTCGCAAGGCATCTAAATGAATATGAACTGTATTGTTTATGTTCTGAAGCTTTATGTTGAAGACTGGCACGTGCGCGCCACGCCGGAGTTAACGCCAGAACATGCAGGCGTCTTGTTTCGGTTTAAATCAATTTTCTTTACAGTCTGTTAACATGAATATATGAATATGCCCCTCCCCCCCCCCCGAATTATCGATGCTGGCTACGCCACTGCATGGTATATTGCCTGTAGCTACATCAGAAATAAAACAGACGACTTTGTCATATGTATAGACGTGCATAATGGACCACTTACTTACATAATAGACTAACTTTTGACTCAGGCGACATGACAAGAATTACCAAAAAGAACTGCACTACATGTACTGCATGACATAATATATGCATGCTCTTTTTAGCTGTTGTGATTTTTTCTTTTTTGTTACCTAGATCATAAGTTGGTCTTTTATGCAAGTGGTCACAATGCAGAATAAAATTTATGTCCTTACCATTATTATCAAAGCCGTGTGTAATTTCATGGCCTACGATGTAGCCAAGTGAGCCGTAATTCAATGCACTATAAAATTTTCAACAGCAAAGGTGTCACAACCATGCGCCGGTTGTACGAAGTGGAATACTAAAGTTTAATTAGCGTAGCCAGCCTGACGATTTTGTTCGGCTATGTAAATTTCCAGTTATTATGATTATTCATGTCTTAAGAAATTCATTGTTTCACAGTCAATGAACACCGAAAAAATAGCATCGCTGGATAAATCATCAAGCTGGCTACGCTATTGCGTAAAAACTGTCACAGACTTCTAAGTTTCATCTCAGTAACACAGGGGGAAATAGAATACAATACAAATAGTTATTACTTTGGCCTACCACTCCCGTAGAAAGGTGTTTGAAACATTCCCCCTAAAATTCCTGCAAGACAGGCAAAACAGTAGCGATAAAAATACCCGCACAAATATTGGTATGATCGAGTGCACGAGATAATATGTCAGGTGAAATATAACACGGGTAAACTATAATAGACCTTCCAGACGCGGGATTTGTGTCCATTTCATCAGATTCCTTTCGCTTCAGGTACATTAATGATACAAATGAGAACTCACTCACCTACGCGGTTTTTTAGAAGGAAATATTTCGCGTTCACCTCTAGAGTTGACGTTGAAAATCTAGAGGGTACACAAACGAGCAACTTGGAGAAAAAGTATATTAATTGGCGAAAATAACGTATTTTTATTTACTAGTTTACTTACTAAGTTTTTAAACTTAGTATAAACTGCAAAGCGGGTGCAAAATGTGGAAAAAATATATAATCACGCTGATTTGTAAACTTCGTATATTTTCGAAAAACGAATCTAATAATTATTTAGTGTTCGCACGTATTTCCATGTGCATTTACCCTGCAGAACTGAAGTCTTTTGAGCTTTGGGGACAAAGTGATAGATGTTTTAGTTGAAAAAGATGCAATTCCGAAGTTGAGTGTCTTTTGTACACCCGGTGTGAAGTACCTGCTTTCATCCGACGGTTTTCCCAATTGCTGACTCTCTTTAAGAAATAGATTCCTCGCTGCATTCAATGTATTTTCCAAAAGAAATGATTCCTGAACTTGGAACTGCAAAAGAACGATCATAAAAATGCTTCAATTTTTTCTCCAGTGAAAGAGCCATAACAGAGTCGCACGATATATTGCTAAGGATTTGAATAGATATACTCACATTTTTGTAATAATTGTTAAGTTCTGTTTTATTTTTCACAAATGGTGTATATCCAACCCATGTCTTCATTTTTTCCAACTGTATTTAAAAAAACGTCGTTACGAAAGCAAGTTCAGAAATAGATTTACCTATATACTTGTAGTGTACCACCTATATTATGCGGAAAAGCATGCGCATTTTTGTTGAACTATATCTTTTCCCAATTTACAAAACACGGAGAGTCACTAATATACTTTGTATAGCTCAAATGAATAAAAATATATGCCTTTTGCCAGCGAATAAAGCTCTCTGCCCAAGTTGGATTAAAATGCATAGGGATGTGGAAGGTGATAAGCATTTAGACCATTTATAGCTATAATGAATTCCCAGCAAAGATCTAATATATAAAAATATGCAAGTTGGCAGCAAATAACACCATTAACCAACTGAGATTTTCATGTAGGTTTGTCGCCCCTTTCCAGTTGCGTCTAAAGTTCTACGAGTTAAGACCACTAGCTTAATGAGACGTTTATCACGTTTAACACATACATGAAAAACAATTTGCCAAAAAAAGCAAATGTCTCCAAAAGAAAGGTGACTCTCGCTCTCAAGTCTGATATCAGCTTTAGACATTTGTTACTCGCCCTGTTTTAAATAGATGTTCAGGAAAACCATGCATTTATCAAACTCCATACTATAACCTAATTCGGTGTATAAACGTAACTATAGTGATCGGTAGGAATGAGATATTAGAATCAGGTGTTCTTGAGTTTTATACGATTTAACTACCTGAAACAAGGAGAGAATTTCGTTTTAAACCAATCAGAAAGTTTACGTTTTTTGTAATCCAATCAGACAGAATGCATAATTTTTTACGACTTCCGGTAAAAAGGTAACATTAAAAATATATACGGTAACATTATTTACTATTTTACACGAAGTATTAAAAATGTAATCATTCTGATTGGCTTTTCCTGAAAAATGTAAACAAATATGCCGATTAGGTTAAAACAAAATGCCTCCTTGTTACTACTTAATGTAATCAAGAGCTATACAGCAGTCTCATGACATCATAATTCCTTCATTCACTTATACCTTAAGGCGAGCCTGAGCGCGGGATGCATCATCCATCCATTTCTGTTCTTCCAAGCCATCAATGAACTCAGATTTGATCTCAGTAAACATAACGGCTGCCTATGAGGAGAAAATTCGTACAAAACTAAATGCGTTTTTACAGTAAACAATCTAAAATTGGTTACCTCGGATTCATTTATTGGACTAATTTTGTATTGAATATAACCAAGCATCAAATATGGTATAACAACTGCCTAAAATAGACAAAACACTTCTCGACGTTTCGACCTAAAGGGCCTTCGTCAGGAGAGCTACTATGATCATTTTCATACTAACTCTCCTGACGAAGGCCCTCGGGTCGAAACGTCGAAAGTGTTTTGTCTATTTTAGGCAGTTGTTATACCATATTTGATGCTACTTTCGTATTGGTTAGAAGAGATAAAAATTTGGTTAAAGCAACCATTGTTTTACCCAATTAAATTGAAGTCACGCTCTGCCATAATAGTTCCTTTTCAAATTGATTCAAAATTAATTCGGCACAACAAACCTGCTATCTAGAATTTTTTCAAAACACTAGGGAGCTACCTTAACAAATAATACGTACCAAGTTGGATGGTCTAACAAGGTGGAATTTTGTTTTAAACTAATCGGCATATTTCCGGCAAAGCCAATCAAATGCGTAAATTTTAATACTTCATGGTAAATAATGTCACTTCTTCCCAGGAGTAATCAAAATTTATGCATGCATGGTGATTGGGTTTCTGCAAATGTAAAGAAACTTTCTGGTTAGCCTAAAACGAATTCCCCCCCTTTGTTGGAAAGTCTAAAATTTTGTCTCCAACGAGCCCCTTCATTAACTGGTACAAACAATATACTCGACGAGCATCTGCTACACATTAACTAACCTTTTTCAAATCGTCGTTCTTCACACTTTTGTTAACATACAGCAAATTGGTAGCATGTGTGAAATATTTGTCTGCCAAAGCAATACATTTTTTCCATTTAGGAGTTGGAAACACCCCAAGGCTCGCATCATAACTCATTTGTTTTTCTCCAAATGCCTTTGGTAGATTATCGATGAAGGTTCTGACGATTTTCCATATTACTTCGTTAGCAAGCAAACTTTAAACAAAAAAAAAAAAAAAAAAAAAAAAAAAAAAAACCATATACATATATACATACCATATACTTCTGAGGGGTGGAACTGATTATATTATAGAGAGGACCATTGCCCATCTCGGCAAGGTAGGCCCGTGGCTCTCGATGCATTTCGCCCCTAATAGATTTAAGGTGGTCCACTACAAAAAATCATGATTTATTCTGTTTTAAAAATTTCTTGGGATGAAAACCTAAATGTATTCCTAAGCGATCCGGAATATTTTTTCCGGAAAATATACAAAGAAAGCGAGAATTAAAGAAAAATTAGGGTTTTACCACGAGCAAACCAGATGGGTCGGTTGGCTTAATCTGTTGTTTCATTGTTCTTTAGCATTGTTCTTTATAATTTATGAATATATGAGAAATTTCTCTCGTCGCTTTTCTTCGCTAAATAAAATCCCCATTCCCCTTACTTTCGTGCACGATAACTCAATAAGTAATAAAGCTAACTTCATAAAATTTAGCTGGTTGACTCTAAGGAGCTCTATGAGCCCGGTTACCCGAGATTCAACGAAGGGTGAGATGGTTTTTAGGTATTGAAATGAGCAGATAACAACTTGGCTTGCAATATGGCATGAACAGACTTTTACATTTTAAAATTAAGTGGACCACCT